TGTAAAACGGATGACATTAAGCTTCCACCCATTACAAACTCCAGTTTTTGTTCCATACCTCAATTAATATCTAACACTGCTTTGGAAAGTGATCGTTTGTGTGAGCAAAATCCCTTTGCTAAAATTTTCGGTGAAATAAAGTGGACAAAATGTAGCTTAAACATGTAAGATCGCTAAACATGTTAAGTTAATTTTCAACCTCCTCAGAACGTGATGTAAAAGGCACACAAATAGAAGTCAATAAGTCACAAGCGGATTTTTTAACCAAAGTGCTGCATATGCTTAGGATACTTCACCGGGAATTTCATGAAATTTAATAATTATTAGGTACTTATCATTTCTTTTCCCCCTTCATCTTATCGTTGCTCAAGCTACAAACAATACCAGTTCATGCGCAAATCCAAAGTAATAATCTTTAATACGTAAAATCAGAGCTGAACCGCAGATGATCCTTGTACAATGCTTAAACCGCTTATACTTGGAGTTATCGTATGCGGCGGGAAATCATACGGAATGAGTGTTTATAGTAATGCATTAAGTGTAGTTTGAGACGAAGCTCGTACATGGTGGAGAGTTAAGCCGTCACTCGTAAGAATCAACGGTTAGCCATGCCAGTCCATTGGCAGTTGCTGGCTTGCATTGTGAATTCGACGGTTGCGCTGTCGACGAGAGATGGAGCACTGCGCAAATGAGCAGCCCAAGGAAACTACAGTGAACCGTTTAAAAAGGAGGAATAACCAGGGAAAAAATGCAATCACTTACCCCAGTGCACTTGGTATAAAATTCTTTGCAGGAATCTTTCACGGCGTTGTCAACGTCGGTATAGTTTTGGGGACCCCCGGTGACCAGCACCGCCACATCGTGTACGTTGTTCCAGGTGCAGCCGACTTCGTGGAGGACGGCGTTCATCCATCCCATGATCCAGTAGGCTTGTCGGTAAGTGCTAGTATTCAAGCGGTCGGGGGCGATTGTGACGTCGATGTGTTCGGGGGCGCGCACCGAGCTAAGATACAGGATCTGACCGACACGGACGGCTCCCCTGATTAACGGAAGCAGTTATAACGCGGCTATGATACTGTCTAGTGTGGACTCAGGACAGTTACACAAATTTCTCAGATGATATCATTCAAGACAAAAAAGCAGTATATTAAACGAACGTGGAAGAAAAGAGTTTATCTGGTTATCGAAGTCAGTGCCAAGTCAGCAGTATTTTGGTCAGCCTGGAAAACGATTTAACGCGATGACGATCGTCTAACGTCCATCCAAGTTATACTGTCCTATTTGGAATGCGGATGCAATCATTTTGCAAGTCTTATTTAAGCTCTTTTCGATAATTATTGCTTGAATGCAATCCCCTGATCATAACTGCTTCGTTGACATTTAGTGCTTCTTAAAAAAAACTTACTGATACGGTTTGTGAGATTCTTTAAACAGATTATCCAACAAAGGAATTGGGACAACGCGCTTTCGTGCGCTGCAGCATTCGGGCTGCGTGCTTTTATCAGTCGGGTCAGCCACTGTAATCCACAGCATTATGTTTAATGTACGGCTTATCAATAATATACAAATGATCGTCCCGGCGGAGTTGCGATATTGACTGAGCATTACCTTCGCCTTTCCAGTCGCAGTTGCTGGCCTGTACTGTGAATTCTACGGTGGCGTTGTTGCTGAGAGCATTAGCAGTCCGAAAATGAGCGGTCCAAGGAAGCTACGGCAAGTCGTTTACTAAGAAGAGTGGCAACAAAAAACTTGCAGTGAACTTACACCAGTGCAGTTTTCAGTGCAGTAATTATGCATGGTGTTCTTAACGTCAGTGAAGTTAGCATGGTTGTCGACGACCAGTACCGCCACATCGTGTACATCGTTCCACGTGCAACCGGCTGTCTTGAGGATCTGGTCCGTCAAATCCATGATCCGCAGGGTTTCGTTAGAGGTGCCACCCGGGATTATTTCTTTGTGGCGTTCAATGTCGACGAAGGCGCGCATAGAGGTCACGTACAGGATCTGGCCGACACGGATGGCGGAACTGGTTAGCAAAGAAAACCATGAAGCACACGATCATATTCTGTACGGGCGACGTAAATTCAAAGGAAAAAGTCGTCAAGGCTTTCAGCTGACCAAATATATTTATATTCTGTATTCCGAGTTATCGGTTTACTGTATTTCGGTCGCATATTCAATATTATCGCTTAAAAGTTTAACATTCATAAATTATACACGGTAGTCATATAGGGTAGCCTTTATACAGGATAGTCATCAGTCACGTTAAGAAACTTCTAAACTGCTCTTTTCTGCTCTCTTTTCTTACGGATGCAAACGCAATTTCTAAGTGACCAAGAAAGAAGAACAGTAAATGAGCCATCTAAATTCTTATGTTCATTTTGCCATCATATAAGTATTACCTTTTGAAAACGGTTTGCAAACGACCGGTACGGCATGGTTAAGCGAGTACGGTAAATAATGTCTGCGGCGCTTTCGGTATTTATCGAATGCTTACTTCTACGGACCCATGATGTAACTGCTTTGCTAGCTTTAGAGTAAATAAATTAACGTACTGCCACGGCTTTTTTTTTGGGGTCTTCTCGTGTAGAATTGATGCCCGTGTAGTACTTCGGTGATTGGCAGCACTCGGGCTGCGAATGATGGTCAGGTTGAGCCACTGCAAGCCATAGCAGCAAATTCAGTGTGCATGATTTCAGCCAGCACCAGCATGCTTGATATCTACTCACGGAAGCGCAACAATAATAAAGGTCACTTACTGATCGTAACTGCAATGACCAGCAGACCAGCGAGGATAATCAAATTCATGGTGAAAAGTAGATAATTACAAAGCGTGACAAGGAATGAAAACGTTAAAAAAGTCTCTTCTGTGGATGTTAGCGAACGTATCAACTGATGGAAGTTACTAGATTTTGCAAAACGTTTATAAATGCATTCTCCAAACAGATCAAAAAGTTATGTCAGCAACAGATTATCCTGAAACTGCTGATTCTTCGGTTCCACCACTGAAAGTCTTGAAAAATTCACAGAATACACTGGGAACCGTAATACCATTTCCGACAACAACTTAGCAAATTGTCGGTATCGGTAGCTGGAGCGATATAGAACACACGCCTGGAATTTGCTACGAACTGCAAATTGGCTGTCAGAATAGCTTACGAAGATGCAAACCGCCACCGTGGAAATGCGATTGCTGCGAAAAATTTTTCATCAAAATTTTTAAGTGGTGCCGTTCTCAGTAAACAGCCGTGTGGCCAACTGCACTAGTGTTATTCCGTAAAATGTATAACTGGTGTAACAAGTACCACCGTAACTTAATACGGCACTAATAACATGCCACGGAATATTGTATTATTAAGGAGATGTGAGCAGATGCAAATTATCAGCCGTTGTGGTAGACATTAAGCTGGTAAAACATACAAAGAAGGTTCGCACCCCTTGCGCGACATCTCAAGTTTTTCCAGTCTGATCGACTAAACTCAGCACAGCGCAGTGAGTTCACCATATCAGCCAAGAAAATTTACAAACCATGAAAATCATGGGAATCAATGTAATTAGGTAGAACCATTACGATCTGGGCATGATATTGCATTTAAGTACAACGTTTTCCAGACGTTCCAAGTTATTTTAGTCCGATCGCCTGAATACCACATAATACCATGAAACTCGGTTAGATGTGATGATATATAGATATTGTACAGTAATACATAAAAAATAAGCGGAAGGATAGGGATTTGCGGCTTTCCTTCTTAAACGTAGAATATGAATTCGGAATAGCTGTACCCCGTCAACATAAAACACTAAATTATGCGGTACTGATAACAGAAATATAATTACAACAGCGTGGACGCATATACAAATGCTGAAAAATTATACTCGTACGTATGTACAATATATTTTGGTACCTGTTTTGTTAGCCATAGGGTACCAACTTACAGTGGCACAGAAAAGCAGGCGAAGGCACAAAGTGCGTAATGAATCAAATAACTACTCCGCATTACTCAATAAATTAAGTAAAATAAGTTTTTAAAAAAGATTTAAAATATTAAAAATTTTCGGATTTTAGAAACTGTTCCTATTATCAGTATACTTTATGTACTTGGGAAGGCTTTCACTTTTCGATCGATCGAAATTGGCGAATAACAACATTTGTCATAAATCATCACATTTACCAAATCATAATAATATGATTTCTTATTACATAGGCCATGTCTTGAATGAATTGTGCAAACTTGTTGATTGCCTATTAGGCGTCAGTATTCAAAAAGGATGCGGGGTTTTATCATAATTCGGCAACGAAGATGGCCTAATTTATAAAGAATTGGCATCAGGTAATTGGAAAGTGCTCACGTGGCTTGGCTTTTACAAATATCGAATTTCTGTTTCTTCAGGAACGCCGTATGTGTATGTCTGCGCGGCAAATCAAACGTAATATAATAATATTAAGATTCAGCTTAAAAAAGTTTCAACCTATAAGGAACTTCTAAACTTAGAAATCTGGTGAGTGTTGATAATTTGTATCCGATTGCATTTTTTTATAAAAATAATAATCTGTGGCCCATTTTCAGCATCTTATCCCCGTTTCGTCTGTTACACCAATTGTCTTTTACAGAATAATATCGTTGCAGTTGGTCCCACGGCTTTTTACTGAGAAAAAAACGCTACTTGACATTTTTGGTGACATCTTTTCGCAGCAATGACATATCCGCTGTGGCGGTTTGTACTTTTGTAAGCTGTTTTGCTAGTTAATTTGCAGTATCAAGCTGATTCCCGGCAGGTGGTCCATATCGCTCCGGCTACCGATACCAACAATTTTTGGAGTGGTTGTTGGAAGCGAGATTACTGTTGCTAGTGCATTCCGTGAATTTTTCAAGAGTCTCAACAATGCAGTCAAAAAATCAGCAGTCTGAGAATATTTTATTGCTGACTTAACATTTTGATCAGCTCGGGAAACGCATTTATAAGCGCTTTGCAAAATCTCGTAGACTGTGTCAGTGCATGCGTTTGCAAAGATCCACCCGTGATATTTAACTTGTTTCGTTTTGCTGGTTTCCAAATTTTCAACATGAAGCTATGCTATCTATCTGGTATCTTCGCTGGTCTGCTAGTTGTCGCAGCTATGAGCAGTAAGTGACCTTTTCAATGTATCACTTCCATAAATGGTTCTGTTGTTTTTGGCTGATGTTGACGCTCATTTAACATGATGCTGTGGTTTGCAGTGGCGGAGAGCAGCACACCGACTGCTACTGCTGACCACGCCCAACCTGACCAGTCCGAATGCTGCAGCGCACGGCCACGGCAGCTCTACAACGCAAGTAATTCTGTGTTAGTTAAGCAACTTCAAGGCCCTCCGGTCCAGTAAGTGAATTTTTTCCTAAAGTGCCAAAGACGTAAATAAGGTCTGGGGACTACACCTGTACTCATTCTGTTAGTGATTACTGATAATATGGAGAAATTACTTGCAAGATGTTGATTTACAGTTTAAACGGTCGCTCCGTTGCTGTTAGACCGCAGCTGTGGGCAGTTATGTAGCCGTTAAAACGCGACCATGCTGTATGAAAGCAGTTATTTTTTGATACCTAACGGATTTTTTCTTCTGACTTTAAGTCTATTTCCGATGGTGATTGTGCATTTATTCTGCTGTGGTTTTCTCTGTTAATCAGGTACGCCGTCCGTGTCGGCCAGATCCTATACGTTACCTCGCTGCGCGCCTTCAACGACAGCTCCGACCTCGATAACCACACGAACGGCACCAAATCGGAAGCCATACAGATCATGAAACTGACGCGCGGCATCCTCGAGGACGCCGGCTGCTCCTGGCATGATGTGCACGACGTGACGGTGCTGGTCGTCGGCGACCCCCATGAGGAGTTCCCCTTGATTGACGAAGCCATGAACGAGTTCTGGCGTGATAACGGCTGCGGTGATGTAGGTTGATTACATATTATTATTGAGACCAACTTAAGAGGCAAAGTTCTTCGTACTAAGCCCCGTTAAGGATTTGCGTAAGAGTGGTACACTGCTTCGCAGTGGTCGGAAACCGGTTTTTGCCGTTGCGCTAAACACATTACAAAAACTAGTGCGACTCGAGTTGTTCGCATTGTGCGCGTATTTTTTCTTGGCAAGTCTCCCTTTTAACCGACTTTTTGTAGTTTCCTTGGGCTGGCCATCTCCGCAATACTCCAGCTATCGCCGGCGGCGCCAAAGTCGAAATGACAGTACAAGCCAGCAGCTGCCAGTACTGGAAGTAGAACAAGTGCTTTTTTCGATTGACGCGAATGGCTTGCTTTGCCACTACGTGTTAGCTTCGTCTTACATCACATCCAAGAAATTACTCCTGATATCGATAATAACTGCGTATGGTTTCGCCACACCAATCCATTTTATGCGTGGCATCTGTGCCGTTTGTGGTCCAGATTGTACTTTGATAGCTTTAATTTTCCATAAATATACGTATTTGTTCAGGTGTTCAGCAAGAGAATCGTCAAAATAATGCAAAACATTATAGTCATCAGTGCTCGTTGGCATGCATTTTACAGTCCCCTAAATTCATTGGAAACGTTTTAAAACAGATATAGCCGTTTGGTAAAAATCGGCTTCATAATGAGCGAGTAATTGAGCACCTGTTATATCAAGTTTTGACAATGATTGGAGAAAAACTGACCTTTTGAGCAGGCCAATGCGTTTAAGCTACATTGTTCCGTTTTACGCGGTATTTCTGATTTCACCAAAATCATGACAACGGAAATTTGAACGCACATCTGATTTTCAAACCCACAATTCACATTACTACAGATAGAATGTGCAATGATAAAACAGCAAAAGTTGTTTGCAGTCCGCGAACTGTTACCATGTATCGCTTTGTGCACATTTTGCAATCTAATATTAATCAGCGATCATTATGTTCCGGGCATAGAAATTTAAAAAATGGCAGAAAACTGCGCCTCGGTAGCAGTGTCACTGCGATGCCAGTTTCGAATATAGCAATAAAATGATTGATTCGTTTATTAATTTTTAGTTGGGTTTGCTTTTATCACTTTTACTAAAAAAAGCCAATATTGCTGTCTGGATTCCTGATAGACGCAGGGAACGCTACAGCTGTAACGAATCGATGTAATGCGGACGTCACCACAAAATTCCATTATTTGTGCTCTACAAATTGTACGTCGTGCAGTATTATTTCTTTTTTGATTATGCGCTCGACTGGTTTGGTTTGCTGGTCGTATGATTTGCAGACACTTATTCTTTACTCGTACAATAAATAAAATGATGTGATTTCCAAGGTTCCGTGCTCTCCTACAATATAAAATAGAGCGCACGACAGTGCAAATATTATTTTTTGTTTGTGTAGCTCTGGCTCGCTCATGACCTGAACATTTAGCGTCCCAGGCTGCACACAACAAGCCGGTATGTACTGTTCACTATCTCTACATATTAAAAATTTATGCTCTTCGGGTGGTGCATCATTTCTGGTGCTGTAATAAAATATCTGCAGGCGCACGAATGGAGGAAATATATCACACATGCAGATATTAAATTAAGCAGTAAATCACTTTAAAGAACAATAACTGTTTACTTGCCTTCTGAAAGCGACCAGCGTAAAATAAGTTGATTCGGCATCAGCTGCACTGTCCGGAAGAGCTATCCACTGCAAGTTTGTTGAGGAATAAGGAAGGTGATGCATAAGCAGCTCGAAGTCCTGCCAGTGACCCTGCATCATCTGCGGTTGTAGCACGTGTTATGGATGGCTGTTTGTGCTTTGTCGCTGATGAATACTTCTCCTGTAAGGAGCGGCGCGGGGGCGGATAAACGATTGATGTGTCGCTGCTTTCAGGAGGGAGAATACTTGGTACGGCATCATCGTCCAAAACAGGTTTGCAAGGAGTACGATCAATCGATCCGTCTTTCCTTTTAAATGTATTGAACCGGCGGACCAGATGCGGAAGGAAATGTCGGCGGCACATCTTCGTGTGTTCTTTTATCTGCAGATCTGCCCGTTTTATGAAATGAAGCCATACTGCAGCCTTCTCGGCTTCGCGGGGAAACTGAAAAAGGACCGTTTCCCGGTCTTCTGGATCCGGGCGATCCCCAACGCGCAAATGAGTACACTCAGGAACGCAGCACAAGTTAGGCATCTGCATAAGCACAAGAAAAATCCGCAAGTTGGCACCATTGCACCCAAGTGTATTAGTTTAATTTTAATCAAAACAATATGTAAACGAATGATCCTCGTACATTGATAATCGTACTAGCAATCGAACTATTTAGCACATAAATACGACACATTATTTGTGCGCTTTTCTGACAATGAGGTACTTTTAACACAGTAGCGAGCTGGAAAAAGTACAGGGTAAGTGAGCTGGAAAATTTTACCCAAAAAGTGTACTGCAGTCTGTAATTTACAGCAAACGTTTCTGAAAAAGACGTCCTGAACGTATCCCTTATGGTACCCAAATTCCGAAACGTACTATGTTTACTTATTAATATGTGGTACTGTACTTACAATAAAAATCAAAACTTATTAATACCGTATATGTTGAAATAAACATACAATAAACCTACTGTATACTGTACGTACTTGCTTGTTAATTTTGCGTACTTCCAGATATATAATATACAACTTACTAATTAATTTTAGCTACTTTCAGATACATATAATTATGTCACTTGGTCGGTTAAGTAAAGTTAGTACACTACAGCAATTATTCTTTACAGACTATACTTCGCATTAGGAAAATGGCCCGGTACACAGGGTCAAAAAATGGAATATATGCAATAAAACTTTCGTTTTCACGTATGCCGAATCACTTTTTTTGTAATACTATTAATTTTGTCATTCTAAAGCTTAATGGTTTGCATACATTGTTCTGAAAACCGTTTGCGCGCGCAACATCCGATTGCCGAGATATGTCGAACTAAAATTGGCAAAAAGTTTAAATGCATTATTGTGTACCAAAAGCCTGGTTATTACCAGATCTTCTTAAAATTTTGCTGCAAAAGATACGTAGCCATAAAGTCGAAAGTGAACCAATTTCAGGTTCGTAGAACTTTCCGATAATTTTATAATGAATTTAAAAATTTTGAAATTTATTTTAAAATTGGAAAAAAAATGCTGTGGATCTGATATTTAATCACTTTTGACTTCATGGCCATGTGTCTTTTATAGCAAAGTTTCAAGAAGATCGGGTAATAACCAGACTTTTGGTACACAATAATGCATTTAACCTTTTCGCCCGTTTTAGTACGCCATATCTCGGCAACAGGATGTTGCGCGCCCAAACGGTTTTCAGAACAATGTATACAAAAAAGTGATTCGGAGTGCGCGAAAACGAAAGATTTAGTGTATGTAACCCATTTTTGACACAATGTACAGAGTACCGGGCCATTTCCCTTAAATAATCAGTACCGTAATTATGTTTTTCTATAATTATACGGTTTCCCTGAATACTGCACACATAATTTTTAGTCCGTAACAACGTTTATTTCAAAAACGTAAGCATCAGCAATGCCTCAAATGCTTAGTGATTGTTGCGGCTGTTATACTCATTTTGATGTTACGCACCTGTCAGCAATGTTGAATGATCCGCCAGAAAATGTGATTCCAAAATAACTCAAATAACTCCAATAAAACAACCATCCTGAAGTCAGCAAGATCATCCATTATCCATAATAGCAGTGTAGCGGAACAACAGTGATAACGCAAATGTTAACCGATTTAATCAATGCAAAAAATTGACACCAAGTCTTGAAAGCAATTTTTAACCCAATATAGCAAATGTCTAATATTTAATGTCAATTATGTAAGCCGTCTAACTACAACATTCAATTTCACTGAAGGTAGCGTATGACTTCATAAAATGCACGAGTTTCTCTGTGCTGAGTATCAGCGTTAGGTATAATAGTGTGCGCAGATGGTTGCATTCTGTTCCAGTACCCCGACTGAAGCGATCATATGGCATATGCCCATTCAGCTGGGCATTTGGTTAATATCTCTAATTTTTAAACGACTGAAGAATTCTTACTACCGAGAAGTACAGACTCTGTATTAGGAGAAACACATATCAGCCTATTGGCACTTACATTTCCTACACAATGAGCTGTGGTTCGATGCAATCAAAGTAGTACAACCCTATTTAAAGCCCTGAAAGGAGTTTTGGCTCGTAGACTTCTATGTTAACGCACTCCTTCCATCTGCACGCGCACCGAACCTTTTATGATGTTTAGCCTGGCCTGTATCTTCACTGTATACAAAGATAAAGTAAAGCCCCTTGAGTAGGGCAGTGCTGTGCCTTACCGTGGCGGTCCGGATATTACTTGCTGATGGCCCAGTCCAACTCGGAGGTCACCGACAAGGTCGGGTCCTGCTGGGGATTTTATGGGCGTGGCCGGGAGTGGAATCGCAGTAATAGAATAACGGAACGCAGTTTCACTTCTACGTTTCTATGCACGGAACGTAATGTTCGCGGAGTTAATTCACTGGTACAATGGAAACTAGGCAATAAGCGGTAACGGTTTCGTCTACAGCCACTGACATGTTGCGTTTGCCATCTACGAGTTATAGTTTTATTTTTTATGTCGTTTCACAGGCCAACAATTTTGGGTACATACTACATAGATTTGGAAATCACCAGTGTGTGCAACATCCGGTTGCTACGAGTTTGGTCGACTTAAAAAGAAAAAATGTGGCTTAAGAGCACCGGCACGCTCAAAGGTCAAGTTATTTTCCTATCATCGTCACAACTAGACGTCCAGACGTAAAGCCGATTTTTTTAACAGAACTGCCACATACGTTGTACGTACTATGCAGGAAAATGTAGAAATTATTATTTTTTAATCATTACAATCATGCTTACAGTGTTTTGCATTTATCTTGTCATTTCTCAGCCGCAACCAAAGAAATGTATGCGTAAACTGAGGATGCAAAATTAAAAGCTATAAAACCTAAGCCGAGAAAAAAGGGCGCTTATCATGCTTAAGCAAAGTGTAAAATAGAGTTATGCGGCGAAAATGCACACGGATGGAGTATTCATATTAATCTGTCTGTTGGATATGGGTTGAATCACATGGTGGAAAGGCAAGGCGTCCGCGGCACTCGCAAGATTACTGGTTACCCCTGTCGCTCCAGCGGCAGTTGCTGGCCTGAATCTTGAATTCGACAGCGGCGCCGCCAGGAAGAGGTAGAGTACTGCGTAAATGGCCAGCCCAAGGAAACTACGGTAAATCGGTTAAAAAGAGTATAGCGACCAAATAAATGCATGTACGCAGTTAATTTACCCCAGCGCATTCTACCAGTTCGCAGAATCTGTTAATGGCTTTGTCAACCTCGGGGTACTCCTCAGAACCGCCGGTGACCAGTATCTCCACATCGTGCACATTGGTCCAGTGGCAGCCGGCTTGATCGAGAATTTGATATGCCAGGTCCATAATCCACAGGGATTCTTTATAGGTGCCCCGCTCAGGAATGATGGTGCGATTGCCAAAGGAGTCAAAGGCGCGAAGCGAGGTCAAGTACAGGATCTGACCGACACGGACGGCGTATCTGATAAACAGAGATAATCACGGCACAAGACAGTTAGGTATGCTTACCATGAGAAGCAGAATAAACGTCAAAAGAAAAGCAACCGGTGAGGTTCCCTCTGCACAAAAATTACGTTAGATATTTTAGAAATTTGTTTTCTTACACTGTTTATAGCACGCCTCGGCAGTTAAACAAATCTCTCAACTGCTAATATGGAAGCTCTAAACCGTTTAGTTTGATATTTTAGAACTGTATGTTCTTAGACTAACAATTAAGCACATTTCTAAGCTGCTACTATGGAAGATTCAGAAACGGTTTCTTCAGTACCGTTGAAAGAAAAATACTTTTATTTGGTGAGCTTTGCCAATACCGGATGGTCCACCAGAATTTTGGTTAGCTAGAAAGTCAGTCAGACTTTCTGACTGAGTAGAACGACCATCTCAACTATATGCTCTATTATCCAGTTGATCATCTGAATGAATATATTTTACTAATGTTGGTTGATAACCACATCGTTGCACCGAGCGCGAGCAACTGTTATGCATTTCCAGTAACACGTGAAATCGTGCGTACCACTGGAAATGGAATCGATGTGTGGAATTCCACATATCCCATAGGAAAGAGGGTTACGTACGCGCTTTTTGGCGTCAGACAAGCTCTGCTGTGGAAGTATATGCTCTGCTATGGAGCGTGTAGTCTTGACGATCAGTTAATTGAAGCACCTCGCGCTTCGCGCTCGGTGCAAACAAGTGACATTTACGAAATTTTTGGAAATTGCTGTATCAGTGCAGTACCCATATCGTATTTACCTCGCATGCTCTTAATACTAATAGCACAGCTTACTGCCACGGCTTCTTGGGGTCTTTAGGGGGCGCCACCGCTAATGAAATCGGGACCTTGTATTTCCGTGCGGCACAGCATTCGGATGACGGGTGATCCGCGTAAGCCACTGAAAAATAGCATCAAATTCAGTTTGATGGTGTCAGCCGAAGATAATCGATCAACTGACTAAAGCGCTACATTGACAAAGGTCACTTACTGTTTAAAGCTACGACAACTAGTAAAGCGGCAAAGATATACAGTTGCATGTTGGAAAACTGGGAAAACTTCGCAACGTGAGGAAGAAAATAACTGTAATATCTCGAGTGGAACGTCGAAAACGAATCAACTGATGAAATCGAACGGATTTTCCAACCGTTTAAAAGTGCACTTTCTAGCTGATAAATACCGGTAGCCATGTCAGCAGTGGAATGTCCCGAAACTGCTGATTTTTCGGGCACCATCGCTGTGAATCTTCGAAAATTCACGGAATACTTCACCAACAGTAAAAACGGTTCCAACAACCACTCCGGAAATCGTCGGTATCGATAGCCGGAACGATATAGACCACTTACCATCAGCATGGCTGGATACGGCAAATCGGCTAGCAAAATTGCTTACAAAAGTACAAACCGCCACCGCGAATATGCGATCGCCGCGAAAAAGATGTCTGCAAAATTGTCAAGTGGTGTTGTTCTCCGTAAGCAGCCGGGTGACCAACCGCATTGGCATTATAAATTTTTCCGTGAAATGTATAATTGGTCTAACAGCTACCACCAGGGAAGATACTGATGATGCGCTACTTATTATTATATTAACAAAAAAGTATTAGCGGATGCAAACTATGTATTATCATTCAGAACCCTTTGCCGGACATACCGGCATCCCGTTTTTTCCAGTATTTTCCGCTGAGCTCAATAGCGCAGAAGAATTCAACATATCAGCCAAGAATACTCAAAAACCTTGTTAATTAAAGGAATCGCAGGAAGCTTCAATGTAATTGCATGGAACCGTTATAACTTAGGTTTAATAGTAAATAGTGTATGTTTTTATTACCACATTTGCCAGGCGGCAGAAGTCTTTCCACTCTTTTCGACTGAATACTGCGCACCACAGTAGATTTCAGTTAGGTACCCGTTCAAATGTACGTAGATACAAAGTGTAATACATAAACATAAGCACGTGGATAAGCTTTGCCGCGTAAAGATAACACAGGATAATTTGGTAATGATAGCAGAAATAAAAAAAATTTTATAGCATGTACGATACAGTACGCATATACTACATATTATTATAAGCAAACCGCGTTACGTAATAAATTTTGATTTGTGTTTATTGGAGTACTCCACAGTTACGAAGTACGCCGTGTACAACTTTACAAAATCAAAGTATTCTCTCAAAGTATTCTATGAAAGTATTCTATCAAGGTATTTAAAGTATTCTATCGGTACGTTGACGACGATATCAAAGATATTTTGCATCCTCTTTCGGCTCTTACTCACGACTCCTGCTTGGGAAAGCATTTAAATAACGGTCGACAGAAAAAGGCAATGCAGGAAATTTTGCATAAATGATAGTAATAAATGTCAATAAAAATACAGCCGGAATTCAACTGCTGCGGCCAGCACTCCCTATACTTGCTGCCGTTACCCGGCTGGAGTTTTACGTTGTTGCTAAACATGATGCTTATGCACCGCGCCTGATTTACCCGCATGTATTGCCGTAACGTCACATTCCAGGCGGGTGACGTCATCAGGTATAGGGAGTGCTGGCCTCAGCAGTTAAATTTCCCCTATAAGTCATTAAGTAATTAAGATACGATAGTGAATCCTTATTATATTATATAGAGCATAATAAATGTTATAGAATGTTGTGGAATACAGAATACAATACACGCTTAGTCCTTAGAATCCTAAATAAGTAATAATATTCAATGAATTAGGTATACGAAAAGATGAGGGGCTTTCATCGTAATTTGATTACGACGGCCAGCCGGTGTTTCACAACAGGTAATTATGAAAGATTCTGATTATCCTAGTAATGTACGAGTTATCGTAGCAACCCCGTTATTTTTTGTACCATTTTTATGTTCTTGTGGCACAGTTTTTATAAATTTCGACTTGATGTTTATGCAGTTACCGCGTAAGTTTACATTTATGTGACAAAGTCTTCTGTTTATTTTTATATAGTGTGTAGAAAACCTTGGCATCCGCCAATAAACTTAGAAAATCTCAACGAAGTAACGAAACTCCTGAACATCAAAACATCGATAAATTTGACAATTCGTATCAGCTTATTTATTTTCTTAATAAAATTATCCGTGGCACACTATCAGTACCATACCGGATGGTGCCTGTTAGTTGTTACGGCAATTACACGTTTTACGGAATACGTTTTAATGCCAGTGCAGTTGGTCACCCGGCTGCTCTGAGAACAACGCCACTTGACAATTTTGCAGACATCTTTTTCGCGGCGATCGCATATTCGCGGTGGCGGTTTGTACTTTTGTAAGCAGTTTTGCTCGCCGATTGGCCGTAACCAGCCATGCTGATGGTAAGTGGTCTATATCATTCCGGCTATCGATACCCACAATTTCCGGAGTGGTTGTTGGAACTTTAACTGTTGGTAAAGTGTTCAGTGAATTTTTGAAGATTCTCAGCGATGGTGCCTGAAAAATCAGCAGTTTCGGGACATTCCACTGCTGACATAACTCTTTATCAGCTTAGAAAGTGCATTTATAAACGGTTCGAAAATACGTTCGATTTCATCAGTTGATTCGTTTTCGACGTTCCACTTGAGATATTTAGTTATTTTCCTCCTCAGGTTGCGAAGTTTTCCCAGTTTTCCAACATGCAATTGTATATCTTTGCCGCTTTACTAGTTGTCGAAGCTTTGAACAGTAAGTGACCTTTGTCAATGTAGCGCCTAGTAGCGGTTGATAGATTATCTTCGACTGACATGGTTGCACTCAGTTTGATGCCGTCTTTTTCAGTGGCTGACGCGGAAGATCGTCCTCCGTCCGAATGCTGTACCGCACGGAAGTACAAGGTCCCGATTACATCGGCGCCCCCAAAAGACCCTACGAAGCCGTGGCAGTAAGCTGTCTTCTTAGTATTAAGTGCAAATAAAATAATTACGATCTAGGTACTGCACTGATTCAGTAATTACCACAAATTTCCGAAGTGTCACTGGTAAAATATTTTCAATCAGATGATTGATTGAAAAATAAAGCATGCAGTTGAGATGATTGCTTTCTTTCAGTCGGACCGTCTGACTGATTTTCTGGCTAACCAAAATTCTGGTGAACCAGCCGGCATGGAAAAGCTTCACCAAATAACAGCATTTTTTATAATCTTTACTCACCAGGCTAGCGTTACAGGGCCCCCTCTCAGAAAAACTTCATTTTTTGCAGGATTGCAGAGTAACACTAGGGTATGCTTAAAAAAATAATTTCATCTGCCATGGTCAGCAGAGCGTGGCCAAACAGAATTTAGAAGTTACAAACTTGCTATGTTATAGCCTATGGCCAATGCATTGCTTCGTACTTTAAGCACATTTACGAATTAATACGAACCACTTGAATGCGCTATCGTACGAGGCCTATGTGTGTCCAATATTCCCCGGTAACCGTTTTTGTTTCTGAAGCGGCCTGTATGTGGTACTTAACAATATTTTGTAAGAGCTAGATTAGCAGGTGTAATTGTGTAAATACTTCCATTTCCATTCGCGCTATCAGTTTTTATCACATACCGCTAGCACGAAAACCGAGGTAATGAGGACCTACAGATCATCTCTAAACTTAAAAATAATTAACTGTCATCTACTAGCCCGTTTCAGAAACGGGAAGCCGAGAACATTTAGCGCACATAAGCCTCGTACGATACCACGTGAAGTGGTTTGTATTAAATCGTAAATGTGCTTAAAGTACGAAGCAATGCATTGGCCATAGGCTATAACATAGCAAATTTTAAACTTCTAAATTCTGTTTGGCCACGCCCTACTGACCATGGCAGATGAAACTATTTTTTTAAGCATACCCTAGTGTTACTCTGCAACCCTGCAAAAAATGAAATTTTTCTGAGAGGGGGGCCGGTGACGCTGCCCTGGTCAGTAAAACGCTTCTACACCTTCCATAGTAGCAATTGAGAAATGTACGCTTATCAAACTGTCGGGACCCGGCACAGACAGTGTAAGAAAATAAAGTTACTTTGTATAACATATCGAGCGTAATTTGCGTGCAGATCGAACCTCTCCGATTATTTTTCTTATTACTTTTATTCTGCTTTTCATGATAAGCATAACTTCATTGTGCTGTTATTCACTCTTATTGTCAGATACGCCGTCCGTGTCGGTCCGATCCTGTACTTGAGCTCACTTCGCGCCTTCCACGACCTCAACGACCCAAAAAGCTTCGGCACGCGCGGCACCTACAACGAATCCATGAAGATCATGAAATTCACGCGCGCCATCCTGAAGGATGCCGGCTGCACCTGGAACGATGTTCACGACGTGACGGTGCTGGTTACCGGCAACACCACAGAGTATCAAACGGTCGACAAAGCTATGTACGATTTCTGCGAACAAGCAGGCTGCCTTGAGGTAAATGGACTGCCTACAAACGCTCATGCATTTCCTTGTCCTCACTCGTCTTTTTAACTGACTTGCTGTAGTTTCCTTGGGCTGGCCATCTGCGCACTACTCCATCCATCGACGGCGGGGCCAGCGTCGAATTCACTGTGCAGGCCAGCAACTGCAACTGGACCGACACCCACACAGCCACAACTGGACCGACACCTACACAGCTAACCAGTAATTCTGATGGGTAATGCAAACGGCTTTCCTTTCCACCATGTGTCAGCTTCGTCTCTCCACAATCACTAAATCACGGCCACGGCCACTTGTTGCGTATGTTTTTGTCACATAACTCCATTTTATACGTTGTATAAGCGCCGTTTGTGGTTCCGCTTTGATTCTATTATCGTCAGTAAAATTTTTCCATCCCGAATTTACGCATGAACTGGTGCTATTTGCGGCATGAGAAACGCTAAAACAAATGCCAAGCGTTATTAAGACACAGTCACGAAATTGCAGCGGTATATTCCAAAAAGATAGAAATCTGTCTTTCCAGAAAGTGATGTAAGTCGCGGTTTAAAATGCCCAATTGCAAACCTGAGATAGGTGCATACATACATGAGCAGTACGAGACAATGGCCACAGATCCACAACACACCCACCGGAAAATGTCAGCTATTTGCGTCGCGTCGTCGTGCACTGGGCTTATTATTGTTACATCAAATCCCTGTGTTTTGATTTTTTCCGCTTCGTTCCGCCTCTTCCGGTCGAGCTGTTACCGAATCTTTTTGCATACCGGACATTTTCCCAATATGGATTCGCCTATCGGACAATCAAAACGGTTTTATTCTGGTGGATGTTGCTTGACACGGGATTTTCCGCGTTGTTTCACATGACAAAAACTTTTCAAAAGTGATTACGTAAGAATTATCGTCTTGATACAGGCTTACGGCAGTGTATTGTGGAATCTCGTGAGTGTAGCTATACCAATTAAACTGCAGTGTGCCGCCATCAGTAGCGCGTGATGTAACCACCGTTCACCAGCGTAAAGTTGCAGTTGTTCAGTACTTTTAAGAAAACATACGAAGTGTACATTTACGTTTTACCGCTTGCATTTTATCCAGATTTCGGTAAAAGCTGATCGGCGAGCGCATCACATAAGAGTTAAGACTAAGCCGCCGGCAAATAGAGTGCAATCAAGTTGAGTATCAACGGCAGCCGAAGTTAAACACCGTTCCTGATAGCAGCTACCTATGTTCATTATCCAGAACTCACATGCATACAGAAGTCTGTACATAAGCCGAATTTTATTGCAAATAACTGCAGCGGATTGCAAATATTTGTTGCACAAATGGAACAACAGACATTTATTCCCGTTATCTTAAATCAGGATAACGGGAATGTATGTCCGTTGCCACAATAAACAACACTTGCCCAGCAATACAAATACTGCAGACAATTTCTTGTTGAAAAATCTGTTAACCGAGGGGAGGTGGGCGCCAAGTTGGCAATGTCTATGCCAATCAACCAATATTTTAACGCGCTCATGCGTCATAACTGAGAACGGCAGCAGAAAAAATCATTTTTAATAAATACATATATCGACTTTTTCTTTTTTAATACAAGAATGAAATATAAGTTTTCCTTGCTCATTTTCGTTACAGGCGTTATGTCGTTACAGAAGGATGAATGCAACAAACTGGTTGAAATTTTTATTTTAACGAAAACGTTACGTTATCTAAAGTGTTTACAAGCATTTACACACCAAAAGCGCAGCGCAGTGTATTGTCGCGCCTTATTGTGAGTATAAAATCAGCGGGTAAGACCTTCTTTAACCACAAGATGAAGCCGGTAATGATAATGCGGCTTCGGCGATAAATTCAGATTGCTGCAGTTCCCAGGAGAATACAGTTAACTAGCGCTGTGTATAAAAAAGGAATCCGCGTGAGAATGGGTCAAGAACATAGATTAATTCTCAATTTTTCCGGCTGCAAAATACCGTTTCCCAATATTCACAGCGTGCGGAATCATCCACGTCGGACATCCTGCGTTTTCCGATGACGATATTTTTAGTCAATTAACTAATGTTCAGAGTTCATATGATTTAGTTATGTTTGAAAACGTTCAGCTGTCGCAATGCTTGCAGCCCAGGTAAGAATTTCGGCGAAGTGGATTCTGAAAAAAATATAATGGTTATATGCGGGTTATAAAAATGGCCGGTCGGATGTGTTTGTGCAGTGGCGCAGCGATAAGGATGTTTACCGTCGGCATATAATCAGAATGGTGGTAATCGAACACTCTCCACCGAAACTGTGAGAAGTAGAAAAGCTGATGTGCTGTTTGTGTTCAGGCGGAAACAACATGTATCACACGGTGTACGTGGTGGCTACGGTGGAAGGATTAGTGAGTGGTCAGTCGGCTAAGGAGAAATGCCGGCGGATGCTACACTCGTGAGTGCGCCGCAGCGGAAGGCCAAAGTAACAGCTGATCGATATGAACGGGATCGTCACCATAAAATTATTATTGTGCCGGCTTGTTGCTTGGTTAACGACTTAGCACGGTCCATCACCGTTTGTGAAGTTAAAACGGAAAAGGATGAAACCGTCGCGCCCCAGCAGACGGCAAGTACACTGTGGTGTGATGTCTACTTCAGCTGTATTCGCAATTCCGACACTTCCACAATATGAATTCGTATACCGGACACCATAGACACGCTTCTCTCTGCGTCGCTTTTTTTTATAATCTCGTGTGTAAGTTTGATATATGTATGTAGCGTGGTATAATATCTATATTTTTACTTTAATATCAAACGTTTGCTACATCAGCAGACAAGCAACTGAAGTGCATTCATAACAACAGCACTGACTTCGCAACTTCCGTTGCAAAGTCCATAACATTTACTCACGAGTTAGAAACAGCATTCTCATCCTTGATAGTTGCTTGTATTCAGAAATGGTGCGTTGAATGTTGAGTCTGAGATTTTAGAATAGAAAAGACGTTCTTTTTCGGTGATTATTCGATTATACTAGTTTTCTGCTGCTGAAAAAATTTATATAATCGGCTCGATTGTGTTTGTAGGCACTCCAGTCCTAAACGTCTGTTTTCTGTTCCATTAAATTTTCGGACAGAATTCAGACTTCAGTTTCTCAGAAAAACCGTGAGCGAGTTGTTTTTCATGTAAAAACTTCTTACATCAAAAGCAACCTGTACACAATGATCTGATACCTCATACCAGCAATCATCCACATCCAGCTCGGAGGCCATAACCCGAACACAGTGTTTATTGGAGACCAGGACTCCAGGAGGGCTTAGTTAAATTATCTTTTTTTTCCCTCGTTCTGCCGATGTATCTGAACTGTGGCACGGTTCTCTACACATCACTGGAGATGCTGGGTATATTATGCAAGTTCGCTCCAACCCGTTGCCGTTCACGGAATCCAAACTCCAAATGTCCGTCGCTCGCCATGTGGCGAAGCACGGACATCCGGAGATTGAATTTCGTTCTTCTGGAGCTGGCTGATTGTGTGGGGAGGATAACCGAAAATGATTGCATCATTTCTTCCACGAATGGGGAAATTGTGGCAGGAAAATTGTTACCCGATAAAGGTCTGACGGGTGCATCATGTGCTTTAAGATTATCGGCTGTTGTTTGATGTATCAGCAAATGCTGTATTCCGATCCACAAGGCCTGATGTCGGCGGTGGGAAAGTACAGCGGAGTAGGGACCTTGCCGAACTATCACGGGCTGGTCAGCATGGATTTATCGAAACTGGCATACCTTTATCCATGCAACTAATTCAGTTGCATCGATATTTGACAATTCTTTACCAGTTCGGTGGTTTAGTTGAACTGATAAGGGATACACATATTTCGAAGATGGCAGAATTGCGATATGAACAGATAGCAGTTTTGAAGAAAGTATATTGAGCGACACAAGCAATCGTTTGATTGCCTTTGTGGCTCAGTTTACTTTTACGAAACTGCTGAAATCATCTACCACGTGGAGAAGAATTCGCTGCCGGGGAATGGGAAGTCATATAACAGCGTGCTTAGCGTTTGTTCTTTAGATGGAGAACATAAAAGCGACTATTCCAATTGTTCACTGGAGTTTATACACAGTTTGGCACCTGCGGGATAACCTCCTCGTAAACTTCTTTGAAAGACAAACATAACAGTAGTGATGCATCGAAATTTTAACGGCAAGCGCAGTGATAGTCAATGGTGAAAGCACGAAAAGCCACCTGGATACGGAAATACTAACCGGCAGATGTGCAGGAGAGCGTGTGTTATGACCCCCCGAGGTTTTTACAACATCAGACATTCAGACCCTACCATGAGCTTCAGTGAGAAAAGGAAGCAGATCCCTATACGAGTTGCGTTCGCGAGGACGAATGTTAAGGAAACAAACGAACCCGGTACATAGCGTCAAAAATAGGATACATACATTAAACTTTCGCTTTCGCGCACTCCGAATCATTTTTTTGTAATATTTCATATCGCTCAAAAGCTAACTGATTTGTTTAAGTTGTTCTGGAAACCGTTTGCGCGCGCAACATCCGTTTGCCGAGACACGGGATACAAAAATGGGTGAAAAGTTTAAATGCATCGTTGTGTACCAAAAGCCTGGATATTACCCAATCTTCTTGAAACTTTGCTATAAAAAACGCATGCCCATAAAGTCGAATGTGAACCAATATCAGGTCCGTAGCATTGTTTTCCGATTTTAAAATGAATTTCGAAAATTTTAAAATTTATTTTAAAATTTATTATAAAATTATGGGAGAATGCTATGCACTTGAAACTGGTTAACTTTCGACTTTATGGCCATTTGTCTTTTATAGCAAAGTTTCAAGAAGATCGGGTAATAACCAGACTTTTGTTACACAACGACGCATTCAAACTTTGGACGGTTGCACCCATTTGTTACGCATTTTCTCGGCAACTGGGTGTTGCGCGAGCAAACGGTTTCTGAACAATGGATACAAATCCATTACCTTTATAATGATATAAAGTATTATAAAAAAGTGATTCAGAGTCTGCGAAAGCGATTGTTTTTGTGTATGTATCCCATTCTTGACGCTATGTACCGGGTCGTTTTCCTTAAGTCACAAAGAAAGACGTCGAAGCGTTTTTCCAGTTTGCGAAACATGTGGACGACTTCTTTTTAAGGAGAGAGAACCTTCAGCCTAAAGGTTGATGACCTTACGAGAAAGACTGATGATCTTTTACAAAAGAATTAATGACTTTCGGCAGAATGGTTGTGCTTTTGGTAGAGCGATGGGTTACCATAAAACACTCATTAAGAGTGCAGTGTCGTTCGCATCTACAGCTTAGGACAAAATGGTCGCATACCCAACATCTCCACATTCAGTACGAATGCAGCGCAGTGCACTGTACGACTGAGTTCAAAATATCCGTTTTGTGCAAGTGCACTGCACCGCTTGCGTACAAAATGCTGGGTATGGGGCTATGCGACCATTTAGTCCTACATTGTAATCCTGCGTCTCTATACAAAACGCGGTACCGTTAGTGATGCTTCAATCTTAAAACACAAAACGTGCGGAGAATTGTTACTGATAAAGCGAACAATTAACCCAACCCAAACACAGCAACTAAAACGAAGTCACTGCCATTTGCTGGCCTTCAAATGGGAGTGCTGCGATCCGATGTACCAATGCCCATTTGAGTGCAATCTTTCTAGTAAGTTAGCCTAGGGTTCAGCACACGACAGATCCTGAAGTATGGCTTCAGCCACACTGAGCGCTTATTGTCATTACGAAAAATGATGTTCATATGGCTGCAATGTTTCCAAATGCACATCGTGGCGCCATTTTTAGATAAATGGATACCGAAGAAGGTTTTGGCACAAAAGGGGTATACTTCATAAGATAACCATTCAAAAGGGGTATATTTCAAAAGGGTGTACTTCATAACCTTCCGCAAAAAGACTGATGCACTTTAGAAGAGGATTGATAAAAAGATAGAAAGGCTGATGACCGTTAAAGAAAGGTTGATGGAAAAGCTGATGACCTTTTTTGAGCTTCAACCATAAACCGTCAACCATCCTGCCTGCTACAAGCGTTTTGGGTGATATCTACCGGAACTTGATTTTTCTCACGGTCAACTTTATGTTGCCTTATCTAGAGTTTCGTGATTTTCCGATACGAAAGGAAAAGATGTTCAAGGAAATAAAAACGCCAAACCCGGCGTCTATAGCCGCAGTGGTGCATTCCAAAAGGTTTTATGAATAAACTGCAATTTAAAGAAAGCAGAACTTTAACATAATATCTGGAGTGAAAGATTCAGAGAAAGTTTCCAAAGAAAACTTTCGGCAATAAAAAGCATGTAAAGTTCGAAATGCATAGCTCATTTCACTTTAGGTTGTGGGTGATGAGTTACCCTTTCATTTAGGTACTCACCGTATTAGCGTTCCACGATAATTAAGTACTTACAAGAAACGGCTTTGCCTCCGCGTTTCTTGTGGTCTAGGGTAGGTTTCTCGAATGATTTTGATTAATTTAGTATTATGTTTACATTACTTGCGATCACAATATGCACTGAACAGTGTTGCTTCAGTTATAGTGTGGCTTCAGTTCTTTACCAACTAACACGATTTGAGGCTCAAGACAGTAAGAGTAATTCAACGTACCGAATGGATCCGGACTACTCACTCCGGAATTACTCACTCTCCCAGTCGGCTCTGCGCAGTATACTGTATACAGAAGTAGAAATTGGTCACTCACTATGTGCAGACAGTGCAGTGTACATTAGTGGTACTTCAGTTACACATCACCACTCGTTCCGTTACGCACCTACCAACCGAGCGGTGCGCAATGGTTATTTCAGTAGGTTGGTCACCCATTCACCTACCGGGCACTGCCCAAGAGAATAATGCCTATGTGATAATGCACTTCGAAGTTCGAAGAATGCTAATGTCCACTCCCTATGTTCAGTTCTAGTAGTGGTAGCGTATCAAATTTATACATTCAAGTCTATATACTGTATTATGCTCATACAAATGTGAATCAAATTACTGACTGTCTACTTTAATTGTATACAAAACGGGTATTAATTTGGCGGCTACGGTCACGGGGGTACGGTCACAGGGGTTCGAATGAGCGAGTTACCTAACTATCACTACTATTTAGTGTACAAATTGAGCGATCAGATTACTAACCCGATAAAGTGGGCGTCTGTGTGTGGGAGCCGGAGCAGATAATTACCAAAACAAAAATTCATGTGACACAGTTTCCAGACATGCTGAATCGAATGGCGTTAGCAGTTTTTTGATTAATTTTTCGGTTTGTTCTGACCAGGTCGTACGCGGTTTTCCGTTGTAATATAGATCTTTTCCTTGCTATGGATGGCACAGTATATGCCTGTTTCTTCCGTTTGAGCTTCCTAATTGGTTATTGTACACGCCGTTTTATGACGTCGGCGCCGTTTTATGTTTGCTAACTTGCCCAGGTTAAACGAAGAAATGGTTGTCCATTTTTGATAGAGAAATCGGTCTTGACTAGAATTTGGTATGAATGCAATTGCTAGTAAGAACTTACGTTATGAGCGCTCTCGTGCCTTCTTGTAGCGAAAACATAGTGTGTGTACCTACCGGAAGCCACAGCAATCTGGATAAATGACCACTTTCAGATCCTAATCGTGCACGTAGTCGGATTTCTGGTAAAGTGTTTTGCTAGTAGTCAGTGGACTAGGCAATAAGAAATAGCTCATATTCTTATTTTCCCACCTTATCTACTGAGTTTGGATGGTCATCTAGTACGGCACATGAGGTGCATCTTCCGTATAGCATGTCAGTACTTTATCAAATTAGTGACCCTCCCCGCTTTAGAAGCTCACCCCGAAATAAGACCCCACTGATATGGCTAGTCTTTTCAATACCCCACTAAAACAAAGTTTTTGCCCAAAGCAAAGACCCCATCCAAAACCCTTACGAAAAAATGGTAACGTTGGGTCGCTATTTGATAAATACGGTACTTATATAAAAGCAGTAGAATAAGTTACGTTTCGTAACTTACGAATAAAGTTCTGCATCATTAGCGCAGTCTGCGATTGGTCTGCCGGTATTAGTGTATATTGAAAAGATTATCGGCGTGATACTGACCAAGGTCTGCATCGAAGTGTATGTCCAGTGCTACTTGCGCAGACCGTAATCATGAGGAAGGATTCGTCTCAAAAATTAGTGTCATCAAGGTTCTCGTTATGGAGCAACCCAGCGTTCCTACTATTGATCAGCGGCTAATATTCTGTGGGAGACTGCTGGAATCACTGCACTATTCCAGCAGATCGAAATATTCAGAAAGAGAGTACACGTTGATGTTACGAAAATTGCAATAAAAAAGGCATGTACTAATCTTAATCAGCCTTGTCGAATGTGGTGTCCTCCTTTTAATTTACTTACATAATCTTCAGGACCAAATAATACGTTTTCGTGCATGGTTTGCCTGCGCGAGTACTGAAATCAAGAATTGTGTTCGTGTTTTGGTCCGAATCATGTACGCATAAAATAAAGCCAAGGCGGTCGTATGCTGCATTGTACCTCCACAGCAACATTTTAAGTACGTAGTACTATCCGTCAGTTCAATTAGGTACCAGCAGAGATTTGTAGGTACGCCATCTTGCAATTGCAATTTTTACAGTTCGAAGAGCTAGGAACTTAGACATTAAAGCTATGTGAGAAATAACAGTTCGGAATGCGCAAAAATACGTGCACATGGTACAATACATATAAGTAAACAGTTGGCGGCGATAAGCGAGCTGAAGCACGTATGAGAGCAGTTAGCACAAAATACGCCGGAGCCTGGCTCAATGCTCTTCCTGCGAAAGTTTTCGGCAACTTCCTGGATGATCAGACTTTCCGCATTTCTGTTGGCCTGTGGCTTGGTGCTAAGATCGTGGAGCAGCATTCGTGTGCGAGATGTGGTAAAGAGGTCGCGGAAAACGGATACCATGGGCTAGCGTGCAAGAAGTGCATCGGGAGAAGGGAACGTCATAACGGCATTAACGATATCATATTGCGAGCACTATGTAATGCCGGCATTGAGTCATACCCGGAGCCCATTGGCTTTTTGCGCGAAAACGGAAAACGCCCGGATGGAGCTACGCGTTGGAAGTGGTACCGCGGGCAGCCATTAGTATGGGACGTTACTTGCAGAGACACGATGGCGGATTCATACATCGACGCGACCTCAAAGTGTGCTGGCGCTGCCATGAACTGGCATGCCGGGAGAAGATTGGAAAATACAAGTCGCTTACTGATCGCTGTAATTTTGTCGCCTTTGCATGTGAGACTTTTGGCACTTGGTGTGAGACCGGCATTGTAACGTTAAAGGAGATCGGTAAGAAGTTGTTTTTAAGGACGGGTGAGAGTCGCTCTACTTGTTTTCTGTTTCAGCGTTTAAGTTTGGAGATTATGCGTGGTAATGCAATGAGTGTATTGTGCACGGTCCCTTCCCATGTTAATTGGGACAAATTCTTCATTTGATCATGTTTGTTGAGCGAAGCTCGCCTTGCACATATTGAGAAATTAAAGTTCAGTAAACAGTTATGGAAAGCTCTCGTACAGATAGTGAAAATCAAGAAAACTTAAGAAAAACAAGAAAATCATAAGGAAGCCTAAAAGAATATTTATAAAAACACATCAACACGCAATGCACACATCAGTTAACTGTGGGGTAGCACAGCGTTCGACACTGAGCACTTTAATCAAATCCGTATGATTTTATTGCTTCCGCCCACACTTCTTTCGGGCGAGCTCTTACGAGGCGAGCATTTCGGGCGAGCATTGCTTTCTTTCAAGCGTTCCTGGGCAGTAGCGACCGGACCGTAACCGTAATGCTTATGCTCTGCCAAAACTGTACTCAAGGGGCTCTGCAAAGCGCACGGATGCGATGCGGGATGGACGGTGCTATTAAACCAAATAACGAGCCGGCAAAGTATTTTTCGTGACTAACCTGTTCATATCGATCAGCTGTTATTATGACACTCCGATGCAGCGCACTCATGGGTGATTCATCCAGCGGCATTTCTCATTGGCCGGCTGACCACTCACTAATCCATTCAACCGCAGCCGCCACGTACACCGTGTCGTACATGTTGTTTGCACCTGAACACATACCCACACATTCAGCCAAGTTCTCTCATTCTGTATGCGCAGTGCTCAATCACCACCATTACACGCCGTCGGTAAACATCCCCATCGCTGCGCCACTGCACACACATCCAACCGGCCAGTTTTATTACCCGCGTATTTACCATTTTCTCCCCGCTTTTAAAATCCACTTCGCGTGTACCGCGTTCTTACCTGGACGGCACACATTCCGACAGCTGAACGTTTTCCAATCGGAAATAAATTATATTATTTTCGGACTGATTTATTACCATGGGAAAACGCAAGATCTCCGACGTGAGTAGAGTGCATGCTGTGAAATGGTGTTTTGCAGCCGGTGGAATTGAGAATCTAACTGTTTTCTTGACCCATTCTCACGCTGATGGCTTTTGTTATACAGAGCGCTAATTATCTGTATTCTCCTTGCAACTATAACAATCAGGATTTATCGCCGGAAACCGTCCTCGATCGGCATTATCTGGTGGTTAAAGAAGGTATTGTCCGTGTGTGTTTATTCCCATAATAAGGCGAAATAATAGGCGGTTGTTGTGCGTTACGCTTTCCGCGTTACCGTATTTGTAAACATTCAAGACAATTAATTCTTTTTATTCTAAATAAACATTTCTGTAAAACTCGTTCAGCGCATTTATTTCTTAAGTTAAGACTGCAATATATTCGAATAAGAATTACACAAATGATTAATTTTTATTTTTCTAATGTTTTTTTTACGTAACGAAATACAGTGTTTTAAGTTGCTAACTGCAAAAAAAAGAGAAGAAAATAGGAAAAACAGAGTTTTCTGCATTTACTGAAATATATATTTTTGGCACAACGTTTTCGATTTCCAGTACAGGAAAGCTAAAAAACAAAAATTTAGATGTTTCGAACTTTTAGTGCAAAACTTTTAGACCAAAAAAATAAATTAAATTGAAACGAATTTTTATATTTTTCGAAGGGATATGTTTTAATTTTTGTAACGGTTGAAAGCTTTTTCACGACGCACAGTTTTTAAAAAATAATTTTTTCTCGCACTGTAGATTATGGGCGCGCTGCATGCGCAAGTGCTTATTGGGCAAATATTATAATTTCTTTTATTATGTGTATATGCAGCGTCAGACGAAGTGCGACGGGATTTCTTTTGGATCGAAAATATCCGTTACGGTTCAACATGGGAGGATTCAATGGATGTGTACTCGTACCAACAGGAAATCATTGCCGGTAGAGCGCAACTGAACTGCATCGCTATGATTGTGCCGGTGTGGCATAATTTAATAATACACGCCAGCCGCTTAAGGTTTATTCTTCTCAATCAGGTCGACCCATATTTGTTTACGTGCACGGCGTCTACGGATTGGATTTGTGGTAAATAAACAACTCTAACTGAATTATTTATCGATTATCTACTCGAACGAATTTTAATTCCAATGAAATCTGAGTTTTTGCACAGATGTAAAATATTTTTTGGGGCATTACATACGCGAATAAACTTTCAGGCAAAAAAAAGTCAAAGACATATCGAAATTTATAATTAAAAAACAAACTTACGGTATTCCAAAATTCACGACTGAGTTTTGATGTTCAAAAGGCAAAAAATAAATCAGTGCAAACAGATTTTTTAATTTATTGGGCAAAACTCAAAAGTATGAATCAATATTTTTATGGACAAAATTACTCTTAATTATGCGTTAGACGCTGAAACCAAACTGTCTTGACAGAAAAATCCCCTATAATATTTTTGCGGCAGGATTAAATTTTTTGAAGTACTAATAATTTTTTTGGCAATTACAGTACAATTTCGAAATTTGATTTAACTTCAACTTTTGTCTCGCCTTGCCTGTAGTTTTCTTCGCGAAATCAATGCCTCAAAATTTTTTTTATCTTAGCATCCATTTTTGGAAAAAATATTTTGGTAATTTTTGCAGAATGATAAACGTCGTGTCTAGAGAATGACGTCGATAAAATATCCGTGTGAATTATGAATAATGTATACAGAAGGAATTAACCCACTTTCCGGTTTGCCCATGGAATACATAACGCATAAAAGCCCATGCTCGCTATATAAAAATGCGCGACATACTTTTCACTCCATGAATGCCCGCCATGTTTGACCATAATATGAAATTCCAATACGAGTATGCATTCTGTTTGTAAAATACACGTAGCGCGACACGGTGTGTGACTGCGTGTTGACTACTTGAAGAGGGAGTGTTGCGAAAAGGCGCAATTTTAATCATGGCACACCGGAGCCGGTAAACCGGTTTCCGCTGTATGCGGCAGTATTTGTGCTGACCAGTGCCGGTACTGATCTTCAGAAACTCTTGTGCCTCTTGATTGCGTCACCGAAAATATATATGGCTGTTTTGATCGCGGTTTAAAGCATGTGTGCGTGTTTTGCAGTAAGGATGTTAGTGCCTTTATGGGACGGATGATCTGCGAGAATGGCGGGGTGCTGGTGGTCGTCGGGCACAGAATTTCCAACAGCCGACCCAATGATCAAACCGGTATTATATTTTTCTTTCAAGACAAAGCAAAATTCAAAGACATGAAAATTGTTCGGGAACAACAGTGCAGAAAAAATCACTTAATTACGTATACAACATTACTGCAACTAATAAAGTGAGAAAGATTTATATAAAAATGTTTTTTTTCTATAAAATTAAAAAAGAGGAGTAATTTTTGAAACATTATCTCTTTTTTAGTTTTTTTTACAAATTGCTTATGGGTATTTTTTTATCTAGTCGCCTTTTTTTTCCTTTTTACTTTCTAATTTTTTACGTTTTTTTTCTATTTAAAAGATTGCAATTGTTTAGCTTTGAGATATGTAACAATAAAAATAGAAAAAGAAATTTTACAAATCGTCAATAATAATAACGTGCCGTTATTTTGCAGTTTCAGTGGAAAATGCGTGTTCAGAATTATCAGCGGCAATGGAAACGATCCTTCAGATGGCTACACGCTTGAAGAGCAGGTAGAGTTACTGTTATTTTATTATCGTATACATATTTTTTGTATTTAAAAATTTAGAGGTCGTTAAATTAACTTTGCCGCAAAACTTTGTTAGTTAAATTCGCAATAAAATCATGAGTTCTGTTAAAATATTTTCTTCACATTTCTTCAACCGGGTTATTTTGAAAAAAAAACTGATGAACAAATGCTATGCAATTGATATGTGTGTACAGTATATCTCCTGCATTGCGCAAGCGATGGTCAAACAATGCGATCGTGAGAGGAAAGCGATCCAACGGCATTAGCCGCCTAAGACGGATCGCCGGCGATCAGCATAACGCGGCGGATTATGAGGCGCACTCTTAGAATATTTCGTAACGCGGTAATCCGGTGTAGTTGTTGGTGATTAATCGGCTAATTGAGAATAAGCGATTTATGTCATACATATCCATATCGATAACGGTAGACGACAATTAACGCTTCTGCTGCTGGCATTCAACCGGCACGTACATGCCGACTCAGCAGCGTGCGAAAGCCGCGCGCTGTAGCCGGCTATGACGACAGATGCAGGCAAGTATCCGCAATAAATATTAGAAATAAGGAACATAAATCGGAAAATATCCAGAACAGAATTCGTATTAAAAACTGAACTATCATAAAAAAAATAAGATTGAAAAACCCATTCAAAAGCAATTAAAATAAAAAGCGGATAGACAAAATAATGAGCTTTTTTTTACAATTTAAGAATTCCATAATAACGGCTTTCGAAATAACCGCATAAATAATAAAAATTATGGCATAAAATAAGTGCATAAAATTTTTGTTTTCTACATTTTGTTTCGTTTTGACTGACGACATCTGCTTTTTTCAGCCCGCTCTAGCAGCGCCATTGCTCTACGATATCATCTGTAATACGTATTAATTTTGGATCGTTGACGTTTACTGACAAGTGCTTACACAGTTACACTGCATGGCTAAAATAGGAACGAATAAATAAATAAATCAGTCAATAAAATTAATACATTAATGGCGAATCGAAAAATTTGCTGATTATGCTGATTATGTTTTCATCTTGGGGTTTTACAGTGGAATCCTCATGTGCGGTCACTCGTGGGGAGCCCACCTCCTGGGCATGATGCTCAGCGCTAATTATCCGCCGCTTGTGCAGAAAAATTTCCACCTGATCAAAGGTAAGCTTTTCACACTGCTGAACAAAACTCGTAATAAGAAAAGAAGAAAATCGTAATAAAAAACAGAAAATTACCATCGCATTTTTGCTGTAAGAATTATGCCGCGTACTGTAAGAATCGTAAGCATTTTTGCTGCAAGAATTATATTATTATGTTTATTTGATTTTTGGAGCGAGGGAATTGTTACTAATGTAGCGAAACAGGATAATTCTATATTATTATCCGATGCACGGCTTCTATTACATCAAAAAATCCCAGGCGAATCGTTTAATTAAAATATAAAATAGCGCTGAAGAGAAAGTGTTGTGACAGAGAAGAGCGAGAGATTCGTCTGTTGACCTGGTAATCTTGTTATTCTCCGCCATTGAGGAACCTTGTTACCACAACCTGCCGGCTACAAACGTCTCACTGCTCTGCGTATGTACAGTGTACGTATGCACCTGTGCGTCTGTCACAACGAGACAGACGATTCAGCGCCGATCAGCAGCGGAAGAGGCGGTGTGTTGCGGTGTACGAGCGGCATTGACTCGCATCGATTTTAACTCCCGAGTCGATTACACATGCCAATCAATACACGGAATACAATGTTACTAGAGCAAATCGAAGATGCTGGCAACAATGCGCAGATGTGGGACGAAAAACGGGATTACCTGTAAATAATTGACGCTCCAATTGACTGCGAAAATTGTTAAAACGTCGGTATTTTATTTAAAATTTTTGTTTATGTACTGATTTGATTTTGATAACGTTTGCTCTTTTTGATAAAATATAGTGACTATTTTAAATACTAACGGCACCGCAGCCGTTACAATTATGAGAAGGTAAAAAAGAATTACATACTGTTCATAATGCATTGTTTTTTTGAAGGAAAAGAAATTCGAACTGAATTTTTTTGTGTCTAATTTTATTATTGTAAGCCACGAATACGATACCTCCAAGTTTTCCCGTTTCTGTCGCCACTCCTCTACTGTACAATTATCGCCATTTTTTGCAGCGAGCTTTTTTCTTACTAAAATCATGCATAATAAGTATGTTAATTTAACCGCAAATGCCATTACACTGTCGCTCAGATTCAGCTGCTTAAAATAAAATTTATGGTAGAAAAATAGAATATTTACCTGTACATTCATTTTCCATAAGTGTAGGATTTGCATTTGCTGCCTTGCTAATTTTTGAATATGTAGAACAATCAAAACAGCCACTGCCAACTCAGCATGTTGTTCTGTGTTGCAGCGATATGGCTCGTTGGCGGAGTTTACAACTTGAAGCCGTTGACCAAAACCTATCATAACGGCTATTTACAACTAACCAAGTATGCAGCGCGTTTGCATAATGCACACACCGCAATCAACACTGTCGCTGAGTGTTTGTGTACTTTATGCGTATGCTGTTTGTGCGCAGTGAAGAAATTACCAACTGCAGCCCGGTGAGCAGCATCTGCGTCAAGCAGCTCAGCCGAAACTTCAAAGCCTCCAAAGATACCGTCTTCAACGTCTGCGTCGCGCAGTTTGACTCGCCGGTTCTCAACGACGAAGCGGAAGAGTACTTTCTGGTACGCACCTGTTACTTCCTGGTTCCTCATATTCTTTTAAATTAAAAATCCTTGGGGTACGAACCCGTTACAAAGCTTTGGTAGTTACTGAAAAACACAGATAAATTAAAGGATAGCAAAAAACGAATGAAAAGTTATGTAAACATGCAAAATAAAGCAGCTAAAACATAGTTAAAGCTTTTATTAATTACTGATGAACTTCTGCTTTAAGCTTTAATAAATGCTTGAATACGCCAGACAAACAGATATTGCTATTAGCCACTAATCTACGATATCTCTCTTTTTCATAAGCGCGTAATTTGCAATAGAACTGAGTAAAGGAGAAGACAACATGTTTATCTACTCTACGCATGCTTAACTGAAAATGTCTGAAATCATACCGCCAAATAAACGTTTTAAAAGATAAAATAAATGCAAAATAAAGTTCACAACTTTTTAAGGCACTGAAGAAACGCTTAGAGAAACAGAAAGGCATGAAAGTGGAGCTAACACAGTTCCTCGGACGCGACCATTTCCAGGTGGTGGAAAACCTCCTCGATCCGCATGACGGTTTCACACAAGTATGCCGACAAAGCTTTGACCTTTCCTGGGTCATTCTGCAGATAAGCTAACTGAACTGTTTTCGTAATTGCTGTTTGTAGGAAATTCTGGCCAGCATGATCCCCCTGCGACCCACACTGAAGGAACCCGGCAAGTACGCCGTCATTTCACTAGAACGGGAGATTCTGCCGCTTAGCCACCAAGGATCCACATCGAGCTTCTGAGCAGCCGTTTTTGCTTGTTAGATGACAAAGCTTTGTGTATTGCGGTGCGCGTGCATTCCTGAAGGAACATGGGGCTGGCATACTATTTGCGCTTAAACTGGTATTTCTCGCAGTGTTTTTCTGATAATTCTTTACAGTATCATCTAGCATTCTGCTTTAAAATTATGCGTGGAAATAGGTAAAAATAAGCATTTTGACCCGAAACTTTACTATAATGGAGCATAAATTTATTAATGGCACAAAATTATTGATGACGGTTCGGAATCGTGGTAGCATCTTCGTCGCTATCGACTGCAATAGGTTTGGCATGTCCAGACTATCTACAAGTCGCATGTTCGTACCCCGTACCAATGCCGCTGATTTCGATGCAAAACATTTCTTGCAAACCAATGGTGGATGGCTGGTCGCATTAATATTAAGCAGAAATATTCAAATTCCGCATGCAGAGTATTACAAATGGCAAACCATCTGCAGTCTGTTAATGGCTTGACACGGGTTGGACTGCTTCGGTCTATACGAATAGTAGTTAATCTTTTAATACGTTGCCGAAAAGATTGACCAGCGACGGGTGGTTATAAACTTGCTGTTGACAACACAAACCCACATAATTTCCACAGAGTCAAATACCGTTGCGTATCGGTTTTGTTGTAACCTCTGGTTCCGGCATTGTATTACAGTATAAAGCGGTTTTAGGTCGTTGTCCAAGGAATATTTTCGTTTTAATTCCTGGGCTTTGAACAAGCGCATCAAGTCACCATTAGCGTCCTTTTGATAAACCGCGCCAGTTGCACCATCAGACCGAAATCGGCATCCTTCGACGTACCCGTATCATCAATGCTGAAGAGGTTTTCTACAGTACTAAAGCTGACAGCTAACTTAAGACTCCTTAAAATGCTAAGTAAAAATGTTTCGAAAATTGACTGTGCCTTATAGAAAACTTCATATTTTCCTGGGGCTGATTGTTTGAATGGGACAATAAAACCGGCTCGGTAGGGGCGTCGTTAAAATATTTCGACACAAAAATTGCCGCGTGTTGAGATGCTAAGACACTAGATCATAACCGTCGGCACTTGGTACTCAATGGATGACTAAAAAAGGACCACCATCTTTGGCTATCTAGTCGGAACTTTTGAACTTCAACCGTACGCCAAGATAGGCTGCAGCTGTGAGTGGTAAGCGGTTACATACGAAATTTCGAACAGCACCCCAAGAAGAACTCTTCCATGGTGGCCTCTTGGTAATGTGCGCGATTTCCGCCTCCGTCCTAAACCCCACTGGGCTCCAGGACAGCTCCGATCAAAGGAAGGTAGCCGATAGTGGACACTTTCCGTTGGTGGAGAGGAGCAATTTCAGCACGATGAGCAAATCCGGCCACGAGGTCCGTACACTGAAACTGAACCAAACGATGTCGCGCTGCCATCAGTGTCAAAACCAATAAAACTGGAAGCAACAGCAGAGCCTGAAGAGCAACCTCCTATGCCTCACCTGCCGCTATGCAGCAGCCAGAACCTGCTCAGAGTCCTAGCCCAGTGAACACCAAACTTCCTCCAGTGGTAGCGCCTGCCAGACCAATCCTGCACCAGTATACTCGTCAGCAAAAGCGAATTGAGTAAAGCGATACGAATTTTACGATACGAATTTTATGTATTATATTTAACGGGAGGAAAGACGATACCGAACGGCCAATAAATCTAGAAGTTTTCTGTACCCCTTTTCTCGCTATTTTCCCACTGTTTTTCTTTGCCAAAGTATGGGTTTTTTTACTTGAACGCGGCGCTCATAATTAGTGTTTGCCCATCGGGTAATGGAGATTTATTATGGAAGCAAATCTTCTGCATCTTCCTTTTTTTCCCTGCAATTTGTGGAGCAGGCTCCTGGATATACGATGCCCCGCTGTTGGAATAACGGTCGACCGTTGGATATCTGGCCCACATCAAGCAGAAGCATAAGGTCTATCATTCCATCAAAGAATGTGCAACTGCCATTCGCCATCGGCATTTGGAGTGGGCGGAGTTGTTCAATCAGCTTTTGCTACTTCATTCTTTTTTTGAGGCCCTTCATTCTTTTTTTAGGCCTCTTTTAGGCTCTTAGCGATGTGGAGGTCGGCTTGCCCTTTATTTGCGGCGCCAAAATGTTGCCTTTTTGTCAATCAGCTAACACTTTGTTTGATTATTTTCGTGAAATTATGAACCACATGTATTTTTTGTACCAACCACAAGACAATAAAGGCTGACACAAATTACAGTGTACGCTGCAGGTTGTAAGTGTAAAGGTAACGAAGCGTGCTGGGTTATACGAGTGATAATGTATGTACAAGAAACAGCCTCGGCTTCGCCTCCGCGTTTCTTGTGGTCAACGGCCACTTTATTTAGTTTCCGATGAATATTTATTAAAATAACATATTTCGTCCAAGCATAATCGGTACATCGTATTAGCGGAAAAACCGGATTTTATATAAAACACGGATTTGATTATTATACGAGTATGACTTTTTTAATCAGTTCATGATTCTTTCGAATCACTCTAAATTCTCACATCTGAATCCATGATTCTGTGATCCTTAACCTGATTAATCTGGGTAGTGGAAGCTCGGTCACTGGTTCTGCATGTGACGAATCTGTGCAATGGACAGAACTGTCACCCGCTTGCCTAACGGGTCCGGTACACTGGACAGTACCGTTAGCTCGGTCACCCGCTGTCCGCTGACCTAACCGGTCTCGTACACTGGACAGTACCGTTAGATCGGTCATTCGTTCCCCTAACGGGCTCAAAGTAGTAGCGGTAGCAGGGTCACCGGCTAGCTCGTATGCCTAACGGGCCGACAGTACCGGTAGCTCGGCCACCCGTTTACCTAACGGGTCCGGTAGACTGGACAGTACGGGTTGCTGGGTCAACCGGTGACTGTGCACCGGACAGTATTGGTAGCTTGGTCATTCGTTCGCCTAACAGGCTGCTCACATTGGATGGTATCGGTAGCTCGGTCACCCGCTCACCTAGCGGGTCCCGTACACTGGAAAGTACCGGTTGCTCGGTCACCCGCTCGCCTACAGAGCTCTGTGCATCCGCTAGCTCGGTTACCGGCAGGCTCGTTTGCCTAACGGGCTATCTGCGCTGGACAGTGGGGTAGCTTGGTCATTTCGTTCGCCTAACAGGCTCCGCACACTGTACAGTATCGGTAGCTCGGTCACACGCTCACGTAGCGGGTCCCGGACGCTCGATAGTAACGGTTGCTCGGTCACCCGCTACCTAACGGGTCCCGTACACTTGACGTAGCGTATCAGTAGCTTGGTCATTCGTGCGCCTGAAATATGTATGGCGATGAGGCACTGGACAGCACCGGTAGCTCGGTCACCCGCTCACCTATCCGTTCCCGTACACTGGACAGTACCGTTGGCTTGGTCACTCGTTTACCTCAGGGGCCTCGTTTACTGCACAGTACCGGTAGCTTGGTCATCCTCTCACCTAAGGGGTCCCGTACACTGGACAGTACCGGTAGCTCGGTCACCCGCTCACCTATCCGTTCCCGTACACTGGACAGTACCGTTGGCTTGGTCACTCGTTACCTCAGGGGCCTCGTTTGCTGCACAGTACCGGTAGCTTGGTCATCCTCTCACCTAAGGGGTCCCGTACACTGGACAGTACCGGTAGCTCGGTCAATCGTTCTCCTAACGGGCTCTGTGCATCCGCTAGCTCGGTCACCGGCTAGCTGGTTTGCCTAACGGGCTATTTTCGCTGGACAGTATTGGTACCTTGGGCATTTTGTTCGCCTAACGGGCTCCGCACATTGGACAGTATATATCGATAGCTCGGTCACCCGCTCACCTAGCGGGTCCGAACACTGGACAGTACCGGTAGCTTGGTCACCTGCTCACCTATCGGGTCCCGTACATTGACGTAGCGTACCAGTAGCTTGGTCATTCGTCCGCCTAGGATTATGTATGGCGAGAGGCACAGGACAGTATCCGTAGCTCGGCCACCCGCTCACTTATCCGTTCCCATACACTGGACAATACCGGTGGCTTGGTCACTCGTTTACCTCCCAGCCCTCACAGCTGGGCCCTGTTCAATGCACAGTGCCGGTAGCTTGGTCACTCCGTTTGCTTAACGAGCTCTGTGCACTGGACAGTACCGGTAGCTTGGTCACCCGCTCATCTAGCGGGTCCCGTACACTGAACAGTACCGGTAGCTTGTTCATCCTCTCACCTAACGGGCCCCGTAAACTGGGCAGTACCGGTAGCGTGGTCTCTTGATCCGCCGGCACTCGTGCAGAAATTTTCATAATAACGATCTGCTAATTAAAAGATTCTGATAATATAAATAGTAGGAATGACGTTCATTTTCTAGCTATATTTCAGTTGGTTTACGTGGCAACATGGCCTGGTTAAAAAAACCCCGATAGTACTTATTGCTACAATAATTTAGTTGCATTTGGTGAAGGTAGTCAAAACTCTTCCGCTTTGGCGTTCCAAGCGGGAGAGGTTCTGAAAGAAATGAATACTATCTGGCCGGGTTTTCGACTACGGGCTTTCAGAATATCAGTCAGGTTGGGGTCAGTCTTTTCTGGTTTGCCGGCTCTGGTGTATCCCATTCGTGGCCATATAGATCTGAATTAGGATATCATAAAATTATATTTCAGTATCACATTATGATCACGTTTACTTACTTGTTCAAACAATAAAAGCCATCGGTGCAATTACCAGACAGCAGATATCCATACGAAGACGGTATCCCGGCATTTGAAAGCCAATACTAGGTATAATTGCAATCCTACCGAACAGACAACGAGTATGCTATTTACTGACATGCACGCACATACCATTATCGAAAAATATTACACACAGACCATTATCCAAAAATATTACACACAGACCATTATCCAAAAATATTACGCACAGACCATTATCGAAAAAAATTTACCGAAAGTTGTCTGAGTCCACATCTGATCTTCCTTTGCTAGTTTTCCAGTGGAAAATCTCAGTACATATATGGTTGCTACAGGGATAATGATTCTCACGATAATAAACGCTTTTTTTCCAACGGTATGCTCGTCAAAATAAATTTCAACTCTCATTCGGCTAATCGTATTCGTAATCTAACATCACTTCGGAAGAAACGTTTGATAAACTGCCATCCCGTGAATATTCGTGTCTGTGAACAGAAATCTTTTCCAGCTCTTCCAACAGCTCCTGTGAGCTCTTCCAACAATCCCGTGAATATTCGTGTCTGTGAACAGAAATCTTTTCCAGCTCTTCCAACAGCTCCTGTGATGATATTCGGTGGTTAATATTTTGGCAAAGCGCTCGTTCGACCAGACTTCTGACTGTGTCATCCGTTCTGCCTTTAAACAGCGGTACGAACCCGTTAGCTATTTGGATTAAAACTAGGATATCCGGCAAATATGTTACTTCCACGATTTCCCTGGTGTCACGTCGCCATAACCACTTTCCAACCACTCCTGAGGAACACTGTAGCAGGTCAACAAGAATGCAGCCCAAACTCCAAACGTCCGTTTTTTGGCCGACTCTCTCCCCCTCTTGCTGGTCAACGAACGTCTTGACCATTTCGGGTGACATATAGCGAGCCGTCCCACGCAGATGCGTTATGTCTTTCGTACATGTGCGGTTACTCATCATTACAATCCGGTCATCCAGATCACCAATTAGCAGAGTAGCTCCTCGCAGGAGTATGTTGGCTGGCTTCAGGTCCCCATGTATGACGTTTATGGAGTGCAGATATGACAATCCTCTAGAGATTTGACGTGCAAAGTGGACGACGGCTTTCAATGAAAGTTCCTGGCCAGATTTCCTGCGAGTCTGCGACTAGCTACATATTTGGCCAAATCTCCGCCTGTAATCACATTCCAAAGACATACTGTTATCCTAAATCCAGAATATTGCTGATGTCGTGCAGATACGTCTGTCTGTTGAGCTAAGTGGCTTTATGTGAAACCGTCAATAGTACCACAACAATTTACTCACCTGGAATGTAGTCCATTACCAGCTCAATCGCTGTGCCGTTGCGGGTTTTAAAGATGCTAATCTTATGGTACCGGACAATATTCTCATGTTTCAGTAGTAACAGGTGCTTCCACCTTTCCGCATTTAAAGTGCTCTTTGAAAGCCCACAATCCTCGATTTGCTGAACAAAAATCTCCTTGACAGCTACAGTCGTTAGGCCTGCGACATCAGCAGGATTGGTAATCACGGCCTTGAAAACACTGCCATAAGTTCCTTGTCCCAGTTTGTCAACTCGTGATGTGTACTTATAGCAGCATGAACTCCCAAGTACTCTTTCCACGCCATGTTCTCCCAATTTAACAATATCTGGCACTAGTTTTGCGCCATCCGGTCCTAAATCCGGTAAGTCATTAATTTCGGAAATTGGAGAACTTGTAGGTCCGCTTCCATTCATCTGAATTTCTGGAATGTCTAAACAAGAGCGTTTCAGGTAGCTCTAGCGAGGCAACCAATAAAAAGGACTTACAATCAATAAAGTGCAAATACAAGCTGTTCACGGTATCAAGGGTCAATCGCCGGTCTTTATGGGCGACGAAAATGCGTTGTAGTAGTTCTCTTGTCAGCTTCAAAAAATCTTCTTCGTCCTCGTAACTCCGCTGAAAGTTCTCGGCGATGTATGGCCCAACCCCAACCGCCAGCGCCCTCTGCACATCCGCATCGGATTCCGCCTCCACGGTACGCTTTCCGGATGTGTGCCGGAAGACTGGTGCTTTTCCTTGTAGCATGAAAACCATGACGCACGCCAAACTCCAAACGTCTGTGTGGCGGCCGCTGCCACCGTATTTGGCAGGACTGGCTACTTCCGGGGCCTTGTACTGCCATGGCGATCTCGCGAGTGTGAATTCCTCGTCGGGTAGGGTCACGGCGCAGCTCATCATGTCCTTGCTGTAGTCGGCAATTTTCAAAGTTTTCTTTTCTGGCTCAAAAAAGATAAGCTTCTCGAGAGATGGCACGAGTTAGGGCTTCTCAATTGAACCGTACCGACATTGTATCTTATGCGTACCTACTGTACCGACACTGTATCCTATGCGTACCCACTGTACCGGCACTGTATCCTATGTGTAACCACTGTACCGACACTGTACCCACTGTATTGACACTGTATCCTATGCGTACCCACTGTACCGGCACTGTATCCTAAGTGTAACTACTGTACCGACACTGCACCCACTGTACCGACACTGTATCCACTGTACCGACACTGTATCCAATGCGAACCCACTGTACCGACACTGTAACAACTGTACCCACACTGTATCCTATGAGTACGCACTGTACCGACAATGTATCCACTGTACCGACACTGTATCCACTGTACCGACACTGTATCCAATGCGAACCCACTGTACCGACACTGAAAACTGTACCCACACTGTATCCTATGAGTACGCACTGTACCGACACGGTAACCACTGTACAGACACTGTATCCAGTACTATCCACTGTACTGAGTTGCTAAGGTATTGAAGTTGCATGCGGAAGCTAATAAATAACGCGAATTTCCAAGTGCTTGTAAGTAAGTATGTTATTAGCATGTAAGAATTAACCGTCATAGTGGAGAACTTTTGCAAGATGCCTGCGCCAAATGTTACGAAAAAGTTCCGCAGTTGGAATGTTCATCTAAATCTACTGCCGCAGGTTCTTCACGGTCAAAGTTTTCGTCCTGTTCCACGTGCGGTTTAAACTTTCACGAGGCTTGCGTAAACGTTCCATCAATGAACACGCGGCAAAGAAGCAGCAAGTTCCTGTGGACGGCGACTGGAAGTGTCCATTTTGCGCAACAAATTCGCGCAAACGGGCTGCAAAAAACACCGGAGGCCAACGTAAAAAGTGAACAGTTGTCGCTGTTGCTATTGTGCAGTGTTTTAATATATTCGCAAGCAAAGCGGTAAACACATTAATTTAAAACGAGACTTTTAAACAGCCAACATACAGTATCTAGAAATATATATTTGAAATCGAGTAGTATTTCGTTTTATTGGATTGAAATAGTCGCATTCCAACGAAACGTGATATCGGCCAGGACTACGTGTTTCGCGCTCTTGGTTTTGAAACGCTCGGATCGCCCGGACCGGAAGTTGCCCGCACGATAACGGAATTCGGACAGATGATGAGACAGGAAACCGGCGAAAAACGAGTCAGAGAATATCTTCGCTAGGGGATTAGCATCGATATTCATCGAGGAAATGCGGCATCGAACTTGGGGACAGCGCCGATAGGGGCAAATTTAGACCAAATTTTCTCTGTGATTAGGCCGCCTCTGTCGATTGATGCTTAATGTGATCGTTTCTGAAGTTGTTGGGAAGTTTTTCTGTGAACAACCGTTTTATGTATATATGTAATAAAAGACGCTTCAGCACTAACTGGCTCGTTCCCGCGTTTATTGTTTTATAACCTGAGCTGTGCAATATCGTCTTACGCTTTCCTCTGTATGTTTTCAGGCATCCTTTGCAAGAATTTTATGTTAATTCGTCCATCCCAAATCATATTCACGTCGAACCAAATAAAGGACAAATAACCATTGAAAAAAAACGAAACTTCGCCATGTTATGGATTTAATCGATGTCCTTGCAAATGTTTGTTTTTCAATAAATCAGCACTGCAGCAGCGAGACTGATACAGTGGGGCACAATTTCTGTACAGCGGATACTACAATAGATACAGTTTGGGTACAGTGTTGGTACAGCGGGTACACGTAGGTTACAGTGGATACAATGTCGGTACAGTGGTCACACGTTGGGTACAGTGGATACAGATTGGGTACAGTGTCGGTACAGCGGGTACAAAGCAGATACAATGGATACAGATTGGGTACAGTGTCGGTACAGCAGGTACAAGGCAGATACAATGCAGATTGGGTACAGACCCGTACAGTGTCGGTACAGCGGGTACACGTAGGGTACAATGGATACAGATTGGGTACAGTGTCGGTACAGCGGTTACAAGGTAGATACAGATTGGGTACAGTGGGCACACTTAGGGTACAGTGGATACAGATTGGGTACAATGGCTACGCATAGGGTACAGTAGTTTATGGATATCACTGCAGTATCCAAGGATGCCCTAATCGTTTTCAACGCACTGGATACAATGCTATTGTATCGTATGGGAATTTGGGAAGTCCTAATAGAGGTACTCTATGAGCTTCTCCGGGCGGAGGTCGCGATGCACAATGTGGTGGTGTTGGAGATAGTCGAGTCCCGACAGCAAGCCAAGAAAATAGTGATAAACATCGGGAGCCTTGTAGCCGGTTTTGTAGTTTTCGTAAAAGTTCCCCATGTCTCGTTCCAGCGTATCGCCTGTAGAAAAAGCGCATTTCCATAATATTATGTTTACTGTCAAAGCTTAATCGTTTCGGTGGAAAAATGTCGGTCACCGTTACCATTGCAGCATTCCATGAAAATGCGTTTTTGATAACTCTTCAGCGCAGGGGCATAACTAACGTCCTGGAAGAAGTATTTAACAATGTTTGCGTGCTGCAATTCCCGAACAGCACGGAATTTCCTGGCATGGTATAACGCCACCGAGCTGGGTTGAACAGCGCGGGAACTCAGCGCGTGGGCAACAAATTTTGGTTGAACCTGAAAGATTTTTGCCGCGTACTTCTGCTTAGAAGTTTGATCCGGGGCTTTAAAGACGCCGGACCCCGTTCTTCCACGTCCCAGTAGATCGCACACTTCGAAGCACGACGGTGGTTTGAATTCGTCGATGCCCAAAAGGAATGCGACCTTAGTGCAGTTCTGTTTGCTCAGTTCCATTTTTACCTCTCCTTACAGCACAATTTGTTAGTGAAATCCAGTAAATCGTTGCCGAAAACAGCGATTGATACCTACAATAAATAAAGTAGGTGAATTTCTGCGTAGATTTTGAGTAGCGCGCAAGCGACAGTTGCGTAAAAAAATGTGACCTCAGGCCAGGGAAGCGTGTTGCATTATGATTGGTAAGCCAGAATTTTCAGATTTTTTTCCAGCTTAACCGTCTGCGTAACCGTTGAGCTATGACGTCAGAGCGTACCCGTTGTGCAAATCACATGCGAATAGAATAATCATAAGCGGAATGGTAGCACTGTTGGTATTTCATAGTGAGTTAACCGCGACTTCATCAATCTCGAATGTAACGGCACGTTGCTTTCGTTTTCCGCTCCACCAGAAAGTTGTGAGGCTTTCTTCTAAACTCGTATTTTTTAAATATTAGTTTTGTTTCTCGAGTATATTTGTATGTGCTTGAGGAATTACAGATTCGGAGCTCTAAAAGCAACACCGTGTTCGGCGTGTTATACTGTAAGTTAGCAAATGAATTACCCAGCAAATGCCAGTAACCCATAATATCGTGTGAAGTTTGTCATTTGAAACCCCTGCCAATTTTTAGATTACGGGACAAAACAGAACTGTGCAAATTAGCTTTTAAAAGATTGTGCTACTCACCGCTTATTATTAGTCAGAGTTCTGAGCAAAACTCTGTATCACGGGATTCACGGGAACACGAGGGTCTGAATATCAGATTGCTGTGTGCCCATGGCTTTGGAAGTGCGCTTGCGTCTATAACGCGTCAGATGCGACTTTTCGTGAAACCAGCACTATCACGCAATTACAGTTGGTGAAAATTCAGGGAGCTATTTCTTATCGACTAAGAAACATCAGGTAGATAATGTGGATTATGGACTACACACTAGATAGACAGGGGAAAAAACAAACGTTGCGCTGCATGGTGCGAGCGAAAAAGCTTTACCAGAACGTTATGCCCAATGTTATGGAAGTGCAGCTAACTTTAGTTAAAGAACTGCAAAAATTTTAACCGCTCTAAGCAAAGCTCTTCCGCAACCATACACGTTTTCTCGTTTATACATGCAGCTCTGCGCGGTTCGATGACGGTCGTGAGTGTGCCTATCTTTCATCAAATTTGAAAATCGTGTGTACTGTGTAAGAAACGTACGAGTATACAGAGTTGCACATTTTTCAAAGTGAGCACTCGACTGCCGGTTTTCTTCCACGCGGATAACGATCAGCGTGTGGTACTCTCATATTATTGTCAGTCAAAACAGCTTTGGCTTAGCAGCTGCTATAAACCAAACACTGTATAGTGCTAGTACTGTACAAATCCGTTAATATTTTTCTTTAATTATTTTACAGTGCACTCTCACGTACGCTATATGAGCCGGTTAACACCGTACAAGCTTGTCCGGTAATTTCTGCCGGTTCAAAACAGCGAAATACACAAATTTGCGTGTTACGCCAAATGTAGTGTAGTGGCAATCGCTATAGCGCAAACTTCGCGCTAAATATGTGCTATCTGTACCTTTACGACAGAAATTACCGGACGAGCTTGTACATGGCGCGCAGCGCCTTACTGCACCTTGCAAAATTTCGTTCAAAGTGCGAAAAAATAATATAGTGTTATCAGACCAGCGTGTGGAATTCTGATGACTTTACGGTCGGTCACTCGTGGGGCGCCAACCTCCTGGCCATGATGTAAAGCGCCATGTATTTGCCGCCGTTGTAGAAAAATTTCCACCTGATAAAAGGCAATGTTTGTTTTAGTTTATGCTAGAAATAGCAGATTTATCCATGATTCATCGTAACATTAATAAAAAGCCAGTAAAATATAAATTATGTTTCAAATATAAGATATTTTGTAAATAAAAAATAATATTTAGGCAGTATTTTGTAAATTTAAAATAATATTTTATTCGCCATGCACATATTTCATATATTTCTTTTTATATTTTTTATACGCTGCACGCCATGTACAGTGTTATTAAACCGGCTCATATATATATGTCATATGAGCCGTACGAATATTTTATTATAGCGTACGAATATTTTGCTGCCAAAATAATATTATTATTTAGGCAGCAAAATATTCTTATATTATAAATATTTAGAACGGTGACTGGCGGTACATTCAAGTACCTTCTTGGCAGATACTCAAAATACGAATTGTTTCCCATTTTTTCCATCACACTGCCTCTCCCGCTGCTAGTTTGCGCAGAATCTGTCTCGTTGTGACAGACGCGCTAGTGCGTAACGTATACGCGCAGATACGTCTGTAGCCGGCATGTTGTGGTAACAAAATTCCACAAACAGCAGAGAATTACAAGATTACCGGGTCAACAGACCCGTCTCTCGCTCTGCTCTGTCACAACACTTTCTCTTCCGAGCTTCTTTGTGTTTAAATTAAATTCACCGCCTGGGATTTCTCGATTATCTAATAGAGGCAGTGCACTGGATAATATCCTAAAATCGTCCCAATTTACTGTAACCATCAACACGATGTACCAATCCAATCGAGTAAAATAGCTATTCGGTATTTTCAAGTCATAAACGTTAAAACAAAATTATAAAAATTATCTGTACAGTCAAAGGGAATGATTTCGAGGTTGATGAGCGGTATCGACTATATGTACAGATGTATCTATCTGTATACAGTATATATACTATATCTGTAAATGTATATAATATATAGGGGGCAAAACTAAGCATATTCCACCGGTCCCCTGTTCTGCTGCCGCACCCGACTGGGGTATGACGCTGTGGCTGAACATGTCGCTTACGTACTGCGCTAGAGTTAACAATATATATTGCCGTAAAGTCACACTCCAGGCGGGGGACGGCAGCAGTACACTGGAACGGTGGAAGACGCCCCTTTTGCCACTTTAATATATATGCTATATCTGTATGTACAGCGTTTTATACAAACATGTATATACAAGTTTTATACAACACGAGTTTAGGATGCATCCTGTTAGCAGTTGGGGAATGGTTCTTTCAGAGCCGAGGCTTGAGAAAATCGGTTTATAAGAATGATGGAGAAGGTCGGTCCATAATCAGAGTTTTGGTGCACCTAAATGCATTAAATTCGAAAATTTTTGGAATTTTCTAACAGCCATAACTCCCGAACCGGATGTTGCGCGCACAAGCGGTTTTACACCAGTGTATACAAATTTTCTGGCTACAGAATGTCATAAACCGAAACAAAAATGTGTTAGGGAGTGCGCGAAAGTTTAAGTTTTCGCGCATGTACACGAATTTGGTACCATGTACCGGCCGACTCTCTTAATTTACTCGTTGTCAATCATATTAAACTCATTCGGGAGCGCGCAACGTTTATGCTCGATATTGACTGTGGAGTGTGAAGTCTGAAATTTGTTGCTCCCCTTGCTTTTATGCTCGCCGTGCTCTTCATAGCTTTCGAGAACAAACGAGTGAACTACAGGAAATAAAAACAAGATTCCAGTGTGTCAAACGGCAAACTGAATACACAACTCACACGACCTAACCGACGAAAATAATGCAAAATAGATAGCATGCGACCGAAAAAAGCTGAAAACACTAAAGTATTAATTTTGTTTTCCATATACTGTATGTATTGGATTACAATTATTTATTTCTTTGCAGTTCGCACATGCCAAATGAGCACAGGATCTAGTAAATCTCCATTTAATCGAAGAAACTAGAGTCGCTTTTTTGTCACTTATGGCTGTTGGCTACCTAGGACGTTGATCGTGGACTCTTGGTTGATTACGGAAAATCTCGCACATGGAAACATAAATGGCATCAATCTCCGGGAACAAGTCCTTTGACGATATTCTCTGATTGCTATCGTCGCAGAGTGAGCGTTATATCAAACTGATCAGCGGACAATATGTAGGGCAAGTTAATAGTGGCACATAACCATCAGCTATTTTGCTCACAATGACGTAGCTTTGCGCATACGTGATTTGAACGGTGTCTGTTGTTCCTCTGCGCCATAACCACTTCTCCCTAAATTTGAAAACAGATTTGAAAACGGGTTTATGGGGTGAACCAAGGTTACGATAATATCCATCCGCTGAGCAGTCACTTGCTAGCACTTACTACGAACAATATCTGCTACTTTGTAAATATGACAATTATGTTCTGCTGACAAGGCTAATCCCGTCGAAATTACCTGGTATATAATCCATTAGCCATTCCACGGTCGCGCCTAAATCGGTCTCGTGGAAAGTAACCTTGTAGTATCGTCCCAACAGCTGCTCCATTTTATTGCATAAAATTACGCTTCGGTGGTAGATCGTTGTGCCGCAGGAAGAATTCTTTGACAGCTACAGTTTGCAGGCCAGGGAAATTACCGAAGACCGTTATCTTGGCGGAGCATACTGTGCCATAGCCTCCCTGTCCGATTTTGGCGGTCCTGGGGTCGTACTCGTAGCTGCCAGAGCAGCCAAGGCTTTTGTGTACTTCAGGCAGCTTTAGTACCGAATTTCCCGGTTTACCGAGTGAAGAAGCAGACACGGCCGTTACCTACAAAATGATATTTTACCCTTCGTTCGAACGAACACCGCACCTAATGTTGATCTTCATAGGAAACTCACCTTATTTTCACAAACGGATGTTCCGACAACTTTTCTGCAGTTGAAGCATTCGTCCAAGAAATGCTTTGCAGAATCCAGAAACGGTTGCGAGTCTTCGCAGCCGTCTCGTCCGACATTCTCATAATAAAACGGTCTCTCGCCCCTGGCCAAGGCCGCCTTTATGTCCTCGATTTGTGTCAATCGGTCCAAGCCGCCCGTGTTCGCTCTGTTAACAAAATGCGGTTGGTGCACGTGCAACATCTCCAGAAGAACACATCCTAGCGCCCAGATATCACGGGAACGACCCAACACACCGAAAGCGCGCTCAAAATATTCTGGCGCCATGTACACTGTGGATTTGTCGCCCTGGTGAACGCCGTTCCTGCCGGCAGAAATCTGGTACAAGTGCACCAGTGAGCCGAAATCAGCAATTTTCGGCGTGCCGTCAATAGCTAATAGTATCGTCTGGTTTTTGAGAGCACGGTGGATAATGCCCCGCTGATGCAAATAATTTACACCGCTGAGGACATCATGATTGTATATCTCGGCGAATGTTGGCCTGTTGATAGCGTTGCTTTTTTTGCATTTAAAGTCTGAATCTTTTCGTGCACTGTCCCACCTAAGAATAATACCGTAATTAGGACTTTCTGCAATGCCTTTCTTACCTTGCAGTACTGCTTGCCTTTGCAGTGTTCCATGAAAATGCGAACATCGTTTTTCATTGTGGAGTACAAGTTTTCGATGTAAAAATATTGAAGCACGTTTTTGTGAGGATCTTCGTTGAATTTCAAAATGTCTCGGAACTCATCAGTCCTCCGCTTCAGATCCGGACCGTATTGCAAGTCGTACAGTTCCATGCGCTTAACAGCATAATGTCGGCCGGATATTTTGTCTTCTGTCCAAAATATGTGGCGGCACAGTCCGTGTTTACCCAGTCTGCTGTGCAGCCTATACTGAAAAGGCGGACTTATGTCGGTTATCCCCCAGCGCTGCATCAGCTCCTCGTACGCCGTCATATCGTTTCTATTCAACAAGTTGAGCGCCATGGTCACTCATAATTTAAGTTTGAAATCCATTCATAGTTCACAGACACATCCAGCTCATAATATCCTATAACCTGAATAGTAATCAAACTGGGCTAACCCCATATACATGCTGATCTTTTGCAAAACCCCGGTACCATATCTCCCACATCAACCAACAAGCACAAGATTAATCAGCAGGATGAAGGCAGTTTGCAACACAGTACTCCTGCCGTCCCGCGGAAATTTTCCGTTTTTCTCCTTACGAGAATTTTGCCCAATAAACTTCTATATACAGGGGTGCTACGCCAAGTTCGGGCAGTTACGAAAATTCCTCTGCTTTTACCAGTTAAGTCTAATATTTTGAATTTGTTCTTGCAAGATAGTTCTTGTCCTGGACCACCTTAGGTAATTTTGTTTCTATGCAAAAAGCTGATGTACAAGGAATGCGAGCCGAATTTCTAATTTCATTTTTTGTGCAAAAATCTCAC